AAAAAAAAAAAAAAGAAAAGCTGAAAAAATTTTATTTCTTCATCTGTAAGCAAAGAAGATCATGAAAATATAAATATAGAGCTAGGATCTTGAGAAAAGAGTATCACCTGGATCTTGGAAAGAGAGCCCAGGGACTAAAGAATGGCATTAGAGCTACCTTCCCAACTGAGGACTTTTGTCAATTCTGAAATGGAAAGCTGAGAAGCTGAGTAATGTTTCTGACAGCCCTGAGAACTAAAGCAACAGAGATTAGAATCCAGAGCCACTAAGAGTAAGAAGCCAGAAGAGGCTGCATCCCAGGACTTAGGGTAAATGGAAAGTAAGTCAACAGGAGAGCATCTCAGCTTCAAATTATCTTAATCTCTCAAACTGGACTAATAGGATCCTAGAGTAATAATGTCTTCATGCATCTAGTAAAAGCAAGCATAATCTTCTCTGGAAGAACATTAACCTCATCTTCTAAGGTTTCAAGTTATTTCTATATTTGGCAAATATGTCTACCACACAATCAAAAATAGCCAGAGTAACCAAAAAGCTGATGAAGTAGTTCTTCACTTAAGAACTCAATATAGTAAGTGCAGGAGGAATGACAGAAGTTTGAAGCCCTTTCTGGCTTCTCACTCCCACTCCTCCAGTAGCCTTCAATCAATGACAGATAAAAGTTGTATAAATATCTCAACCTCCCAACTCTCTGGGGCAGGTTCTATACTGTCTCCTAGAGGTCTCTCATGGGAAAAAGTCCTAAACCTACAACAGTAGCCTTCTCCTTAACTTACTGTACTTTGTATTGCCTTCCTTTCCTTTTCTGTCTCACTTCTCCACACGACCACCCTGCTTCCCTAGATAACTACTTCATTCAACAACTTGTCTCAGAATCTACATCTGGGGAAAACAACCTAGGAAAAAGGTCAGGCTGACAATAGCTGAACTCACTGGTAAGTCTTTACAACACAACATGTGGGATAACTAGGCATTATATGCTTCCTGATTCAACACAACAGGGAGTAAACAGCACCACCTATGAAGTATTCTTGCCAAGTGTATAAGATATTGGCAGGAATTCTCTTTGATAAGATACCACTTGAATCTAAGCAAGCCTCTAGATCCAACTACCAGGTAGAGAAACAAGTTAATACCACAAAGACACAAAGAGCCAAATCCAGAATGTGGGGAATCCTACAAGATGACAAATCAATTTCTTCAAAAAACAAATGGCTTGAAAGGGGGAGGAGGAAAGGAACTGTTATAGATTAGAAAGAGAGACTCAAAAAAATGTAAGAAAGTAAAATGTATGAGCTTATTTGGATCCTGATTGGAACAAGCCAACTTAGGATTTTTTTTTAAAGATTTATTTATTTATTTATTTAACAGAGAAAGAGACAGTGAGAGAGGGAACACAAGCGGGGGAGTGGGAGAGGGAGAAGCAGGCTTTCTGCAGAGCAGGGAGCCTGATGCGGGGCTCAATCCCAGGACCCTGGGATCATGACCTGAGCCGAAGGCAGACACCTAATGACTGAGCCACCCAGGCACCCTGTAACTTAAGATATTTTTAATTTAGTCAGGGACATAGGAATTTTCCCCTAATTTTGTAAAGTATAGTAATAATGGCACTATAGTTTTGTAAAACAAAACAAAATACTTATCTGTTACATAGACAAACCAACACACACACACACACACACACACACTGAGGTATTTCCTGGTGAAATGACATGATGTCTGCTTTAAAACACTCCAGAGGAAAAAATGTGTTACAGGAAGAAATGAAATAAGATTGGCAAAATGTTCATAATATTGGTACTGGATAATAGGTACATGGTAACTTATTTCATCTCTCTCTATTTGAAATTCTGCATAATAAAAATTTTAAAAAAGGAAAGGTATTTTAAGACAGGACATTTCAAAAAAAATAGGACTTCAGACCATTGAATGTATTAGATAGCCAGAGACCTTTAGCCAGTAGTTCTCAAACTTTGATGTATATCAAAATCACCAGATAAACTAATAAAGACCAGAAAGGCCCAGGCTAGATGAAGTAGGATAGGATCTGGGCCTTTGTATTTTTAACAAGTTCCCAAGTGATACTGATGCCAATCAAAATTTGAGAACCATGGCTCTAAACTTCCATCTGCTAAGCCACATTCAGCAACTGAGGACAGCAGAGCAAGATTAATGAATCTCTGGGAAAACAATTACTATGATAATTACTTTACTACAAAGTCCCTCAAATGTCATACCCACTATGTAAGAGGGGTGGAAGAGGAAAGGAAACACCCACTAACCACACCACCTTACTCCCTACATATGGGTTACTTTCTAAAACAGATGGTTCAAGGGTTCAACCACATGCTGAAGAAAGAAGGTCAGAGCATAAGGCTGTCCTTTGAGAGAAGGAACCTTCTGGAAGGAGAAGAACGCTGGCAGAAAGGGATTGGGGCAGAGAGAGTAGGGAGTGGGTGGGAAATGAGAACAAAAAATGACAAAGATAAGAGGAAAGAGGGAAAAGAAGAGGAGAAATAAAATAAGTGAAGCCAACAAATTTTAAAAGGAGGGAATCAGAAGATAGGAGAAAATTAAAAAGGAGATAAAATGTAAAACACTGATCCATTTAACAGACATTTATTTAAGTTACCAGTCTGTGTGGGGCAGTATGGTGGTTACCAAAAATATAATGGCAACCAAAACATGTTCTCTTCCTTCAAGCAACGTACACTCTATCGGGAAATGGCAGAGGAGGAAAGGGGATAAAAAGGGGGAAAGAAAAGTAAAAAGAAAGAATGGGGAAGAGGAAGGGAGGTGGAAGTGGCAATGAGGAATGGAGAAGGGGAGTACATGAGTGAGAAGACAAAAGACACTTATGTGCCATGGAACCATACAGCATATAACCGCTTTCTAACATTCCCTTGGTTAAACCTCTGTTATTTCTATCTCTGGTTATAAATCATCAAGGAAGCATAGTACTGAAATGCCTAGCTTCCGTTCACAGCGGTTATTCTTTTTTCCAATTTATACTTACACATTCATATGTGTATATGTATATTAGTAACTTCATACTTTTTCATTCATTGTATTACCTAGAGATTTTTTAAATTTTCTTCGTGGGTTTCCTAATAACTCCAATATTTCACTTAATCGCAACGTGACCTCTGCTACCACCACAACATCAATGTCTTCCATTTTATAGCAGTGAATTACTTCATTTATCTGCCACAGAAGATAAACCCACTAAAAAGAGACAATCAATTAAAATATTACATTGTTGAGTCACATTTTTTTAAACTTAGGACTTCCTTGAAGTCATCATCTTCTAGACACATGGAAATGTTAGACAGGTAGACACCCCCTTATTGGTACATCTTAATTATAAACATCAATGATCCTAATCAATCTGTTTCTATAAACTCGCAAAGAAGATTCACCTAAGCTTACAATCTGCATATCTATAGCCATGATGGAACATTTATCATCTTTTTTTAACGTATCAGTAAAGATGATCAGTATCCTCAAAGTTCTCATTCCCCCTCACAAAGCAGCTGTCGTGATCACTACCCAAGTCTTCCAAAACAGTGAGGGGGAGGCAGCTGTTTCAAGCTCCATGCTAGGTGCATTCAAAGCTGTCTTTCATGCCTATATCCCCGCAAAGCTTAGCACATAAAATTAGCCATCACACTTTAGGAACTAAAATGAGGAAACAACATTACTTTTTCACTTCATTACCTTTTCAGAGGACATGGTAAAAACCAAGCCCATGTACCCTATGTACAACATATCCAATATGTTACTGTTAAAATGTTTCCTCCTACATTCCCTGGTTATAATATTCACCTGCTCAACTTTCTCCTTTCCACGAAAGAGCTCTTTGAAATAGTCTAAAGATATTATTGCAGAAAAAAAAAGCCTAAAACTCCTTATTTATTTGTATTCTCTATTATTAACCTTCTTAATGAACTTATCCAAGTTCATGTAACCTAAACGCACTAGATTTATTCCTCTCTTAGAAACCTGAAATACCTTCCCACTCCCCAAAACTAAACTGCAGAAGTACAGAGAATACACTTAGAAAAAGGCTCAGTCAGCACCACATTTAAAGAATGGTAGTTATGCAGGTGGCTAAATAGGGAAAATTTAGATTTGAAATGTGCATCACAACTTAAATTAGCAGTAATAAAAAGCAAGTGAAAGGAAACAAAAAGGAATACTTTATTAGTACTGATTTTCTGGGTGAATTTTGCATAGTCATTTCTGGGCATATTGATCCTCTGAATTCCTAATTTGCATTTCTGCCATAGGAATATTATCATGTCCACAACGATTTCTTTATCAGGCTGAACATTCTGAAAACAAAAACAGTAAAGTAATGGTAAGAATAAGATACACTGTAGATACAGATATATAGCATTTAACGTGTGCCAGGAAACATTCTAAGAGCTCTATATACCTACTGCAATGGACTGAATGTGTCTATCCAAAATTCCTGCGCTGAAATTCTAACTCTCAACGTGATAATATTGGGAGGTGGGGCCTTTAGGAGGTAATTAGACATGCGGGTGACGCCCTCAAGAGCAAAAATAGTACTCTTATAAAAGGACTCCAGAGTCTGTCACTTTCTTTCTGCCAAGCAAAGACAGCTATCTATGAACCAGGAGGTGGACCCTCACCAGGCACCAAATCTGCTGGTGCCTTGATCTTGGATTTCTCAGCCTCCAGAACTGTGAGAAGTAAGTGTTCCATGTTTAAGCCACCCTGTCTATGGTATTTTTGTTATGGTAGCCCATACAGACTAAGACTTATACCAATTTATTTAATCTTCATGACAACTCTATGAAGTGAGTACTACTACTATCTTTTTAAATTTTCTGTGTTAAAATAATAAAGAATGGGGAGGGGGATGAATTAGTAAGGGGAGAGGGAGTAGGGAGATGGGAAAGGATACAAACAAGGAGGAAAGAGAGACATAAAGAAACCAAGAGAACATCACACTGTGTATCAATAGATACCATGAGTATAATGAATACATCTCCTCTCAAATCAGCTATTTGGCTCTTTTCAAAAGAAAAATATAACTAGGGGCACCTGGGTGGCTCAGTTGGTTAAGCAACTGCCTTCGGCTCAGGTCATGATCCTGGAGTCCCGGGATCGAGTCCCGCATCGGGCTCCCTGCTCAGTAGGGAGTCTGCTTCTCCCTCTAACCTTCCTCTCTCTCATGTGCTCTCTCTCTCTTTCTCATTCTCTCTCCCAAATAAATAAAATCTTAAAAAAAAAAGAAAAATATAACTCATTATATCTGAACTAGAAAGATAATGAGTTTATGATTAAAATACACCAAACCTTGAACTTCTTTGGGGCAGCTCTAAGACTTAATTTGCATATGTAGTACCTAGTATGGGACCATAACAGAGATCAATAAATGTTTATTGAATTGAATTGAATGAACTAAGACATACACGATTTTTTTTAAAAGCCGGTAGTAAAAATTCCTTGCCCTGGGGCACCTGGCTCAGTCAGTTGGGCGTCCCATTCTTGGTCTCAGCTCAGGTCTTGATCTCAGGGTTGTGAGTTCAAGCCCTGTACTGGGTTCCACGCTGGGAACGTGGAGCCTACTTAAAAAAAAAAAAAAAAATCAAGGGCTCCTGGGTGGCTCAGTCGTTAAGCGGCTGCCTTTGGCTCAGGTCATGATCCCAGAGTCCTGGGATCGAATTCCACATGGGGCTCCCTGCTCAGCAGGAAGCCTGCTTCTCCCACTCTCCCTGCTTGTGTTCCTGCTCTTGCTGTCTCTGTCTCTGTCAAATAAAAAGATAAATAAAATCTTAAAAAAAAAATCGAGATGAACCATGAAAGACTATGGACTCTGAGAAACAAACTGAGGGTTCTAGAGGGGAGGGGGGTGGGGGGAATGGGTATTAAAGAGGGCACGTATTGAATGGAGCACTGGGTGTTATACCCAAACAATGAATCATGGAACACTACATCAAAAACTAATGATGTAATGTATGGTGATTAACATAATAAAATTTAAAAAAAAAGTCTCGTTGGGAGCTATACGGGATTAACAGCACAGCTCTGGGCTATTAAAGTGGGCCAGAATGGCTTTCTGACACTGAAGAAATTAAAAGTATGGGAAAGGGTAGCCTCTTCCTCCAGAGGGCATTGTTTGGCCTTAGAGATTCAGAGAAAGCAACTGAAGTTAGATTTTTGCATCTGGTCATAGGGGCAATGTTACTAGAAGAAGAAATTATAAATAAGTGTAGAAGAAGGTATAAATAAGTTTTGGTCTATTCATACAGTGGAATACTATGCAATAAAATGAACAATATACAAGCACTTGCAACAATAAGGAGGACTCTTACAAACAATATCGATTGAAAGAAGCAAGATGCTGAAAGTATGCATAGATCTCCCTTGACTTATAAATGGAAAATACCATAAATCAAAAATGCATTTAATCTATTGAACATCATAGTCTAGACTTACCTACCTTAAACATGCTCGGAACACTTACATTAGCCTATAGCAGGACAGAGGTCCTGAACACAAAGCCTACTTTATAATAAAGTGTTAACTATCTCATGTAATTTATTGAATACTGTGCTGAAAGTGAAAACCAGAATAGTTGTGTGTCTGTCATTTCCCCTCATGATCGTGTAGCTGATTAGGAGTCATGGTTGCTGCTGCCCAGCATCATGAGAGAGTATCATACTGCATATTGCCAGCCAGGGAAAACATCAAAGTTCACAATTTAAAGTATGCTTTCTATTGAATGTGTATTGTTTGCACACCATTGTAAAATGGAAAAATCTTAGGTTGAATCATCCTGAGACAGGGACCATCTGTATTTTCTGTATCCAATTACATACAACACAAAAAAATAGGCAAAACTAACCCAATGACTAAAAAAGTCAAGATAGTGAGTACCCATGGTAGAGTCAGTGACTGGAAGGGAGCACAGGGGTAGCTACTTGGTGCTGGTCATGTTCTGTTTCTTGAACTGGATGTGCTTCATTTATGAAAACTCATTGAGCTATACACTAGTAAAATGTTTGTCATTATATATATTATTAATCAATATAAAGGTTTAAAAAAAAAAGTAAGATTCAAGGGTGCCTGGGTGGCTCACTTGGTTAAGCATCAGACTCTTGATTTTGGCTCAGGCCATGATATCAGAGTCATGACATCGAGCCACCAAGTCAGGCTCTGTGCCCAGTGTGGAGTCTGCTTGTCCCTCTCCCTATGCTCCTCCCCCCACTCATCCTCTCTCTCTCTTTCAAATAAATAAATGAATAAAATCTTTAAAAAAACACAAAAACAAAAAGTAAGATTCAAAGTACTGAATTTCTAAATATTTCTGTTTTGGGATATAAACATATATCATGTATCAGATAACATTATAAAACAGATATGTCAAGTGCCTGGGTGGCACAATGGGTTAAGCCTGCAACTCTTGGTTTTGGCTCAGGTCATGATCTCAAGGTCATAAGATCACCCGCATTGGGCTCTGCACTCAACGTGGAGTTGGCTTGGGACTCTCTCTCCCTCTCCTTTGGCCCCTCCTCCAACTTCTCTCTCTAAAATAAATAAATAAATAAATAAACCTTTTAAAAAAGATATGTAGGGGCGCCTGGGTGGCTCAGTTGGTTAAGCAACTGCCTTCGGCTCAGGTCATGATCCTGGACTCCCGGGATCGAGTCCCACATCGGGCTCCCTGCTTGGCAGGGAGTCTGCTTCTCCCTCTGACCCTCTTCCCTCTCGTGCTCTCTATCTCTCATTCTCTCTCTCTCAAATAAATAAATAAAATCTTTAAAAAAAAAAGATATGTCAATGCATCTGAACTAATCTTTTAAAATTTAGATTATTGGGTGTCTGGGTAGCTCAGCCAGTTAAGCGGCTGCCTTGGGTCATGATCCCAGGGTCCTGGGATTGAGTCCCACATCAGGCTCCCTGCTCAGCGGGGAGCCTGCTTCTCCCTCTCCCTCTGCCTGCCTCTCTGCCTACTTGTTCTCTCTCTCTCTATGTCAAATAAATAAAATCTTTAAAAAATAAAATAAAATAAAATAAAATTTAGATTATTAAATAAATTATAAAAATAAACAAAATCAAAGCTCATAGGTATTGATTGCTTATGATCAACCTCAAAGGTGGCCAGGAGCATGGGCACAGGACAGAAATGGGACCAGCTTCAGGAACAGCAGAAAAGCTCTCTGTATTGGGTTGGACATAGAAGGGACATGAGCAACCCATCACACCCTATCCTTTCCTCTAAAGAATGTTTAATCTTCTTGTCCTGAGTTTCCCCAATTGGTCCTTTATACCTGGATTTAGCAACTGAACTTAAGAACAGAGATCGTCAAGAGGAAATCTTGTCTACTAGGCCTTGAAAAAACAAGTCTAAGGATGACAAATTGGACATCTTGGTAGATTTGGAACATAACTACATCTGATTCCTAGACTGCTAATAGCTCATGATCATTACTAGCTTCTGGAACTATACCTCAATGAAAATATTATGCTTGGAAAACTTGTCCTAAGTTCATCATTAAAATACTTATTTGTAAAAAAAAAAAAAAAAATCCTTGCCCTTTTCAGCCTTGATTAGAATTTTTTGGTTTAACCCCAAAAAACAAATAATCCAGTTAAGATATGGACAGAAGACATGAATAGACATTTTTCCAAAGAAGACATTCAAATGACTAACAGATACATGAAAGATGCTCAACATCACTCATCACTCAACATCAGGGACATATAAATAAAAACCACAGTCAGACACTACCTCACACCAGTCAGAATGGCCAAAATTAACAACACTGAAACAACAGATATTGGCGAGGATGCAGAGAAAGAAGAACCCTCTTACACTGCTGGTGGGAAGGCAAGCTGGTGCAGCCACTCTGGAAAACAGTATGGAGGTTCCTCAAATATTAAAAATAGAGCTACCCTATGACCCAGCAATTGCACTACTAGGTATTTACCCCAAAGGATAAAAAAATACTGATTCTAAGGGGCACATGCACCCTAATGTTTACAGCAGCATTATCAACAATCCAAATGTCCATCAACAGATGAATGGATAAAGAAGATGTGGTATATATACACAATGGAATATTACTTAGCCACAAAAAAGGAAACCTTGCCATTTGCAATGACATGGATAGAGTGAGGTATATTATGCTAAGCGAAATAAGTCAATCAGAGAAAGACAAATACCACATAACTTCACTTATATGTGGAATTTAGGAAACAAAACAGATGAACATAGGGGAAAGAAGGGGGAAAAAAGGAGAGAGGGAGACAAATCATAAGACAGTCTCAACTATGGAGAACAAACTGAGGGTTGATGGAGGGGAGGAGTGTGGGGGATGGGCTAAATGGGTGATGGGTATTAAGGAGGGCACTTGTTGTGATGAACGCTGGGTGTTATCTGTAAGTGATGAATCACTAAATTCTAGTCCAGAAACCAATATTACACTATATGTTAACTAACTAGAATTTAAATAAAAACTTGAAACAAAAAAAAAGAATTTTTTGTTTAGTTCTCCTACTATAATCATTATATTTGCTATCAAATACCTTTCTTACAAAAATTAAATACCTGTCACAAGTATTTAATAAACCCAGAAGAAATAAAAAACATTTTACCAGTGGAACTTCTCAAGTCCGTTACTGTGGTTTCACTTCCCTGAACAAAAGTTAATACAATGCTCTATCATTGTGGTTTTCAAATTTTCTTTAGAATAGTAAAGCCAAATTTTCAAATGAAATTCTATCTCAACAATTGTATATAAAACTAATAAAAACAGGTTAGGGTGTTATACCCAAAGCTGAACTCCTGAGGGAACTTCGGCAAAGCCCTGGGGATCCCTGGAATTCAGTTTTAACACCAGTGCTGTTCTAGTTACTTAAACATTCATACCCACAAATCAACATCTCTAATGGCCATTGGGTGCAAAGTGACTCCAAATAATAACTAAGCGCTGTATTCATGGACTGGAAATCGGTATTTCATTAAGAATGTTAACTCTAATTGAAATGACTGCCTCATTTCCTTTTATTAGAAATATAGCTAGCATAGGAATTTTCCAAAAAGGAACAAAAAGAGTTATTATCAAAACAGACTTAAAATCAGAAGTCAGACCATGACTCAACCTCTTATTTAATGATTAAACAATACAGAATTTTGGCAAGGTGCAATTCCCGTGATATTTTAAATCTGGCTTTAAATTAGGTATAATAACCTCCTTCAACACTATTACAAAGTCTTCAAAAGAGCAATTAATTTTACCTGGGGAGAAGCACAGACACAAGAGTACAAGGTTGCTGCCAAATGGAAAATGTCTTCTGAATATCCATAAGTCTTCAAACAAGAATCTAATTCATAAGGTAGAGAAAAATGAAACAAAAAAATCAATTACAAAATTTCAAATAGAAAAGGCATAGAAGCAAAAATTCTACAAAATGACTTAAATGGTATCTGGACAAATATCATGTCACTAAGATATTTCTATATATATGAAAATATATATATATATATAGTTTTCTATATATGAAAACTAATCTAAGTGGGCTCTAATGCAATTAAAATAGACTATTATCATTAATCTGTGATCTGTATGCCAACTACATCCAGAATAGAATTGAAAAGGCTTATAATATTAAAACACATGTAAAATATGGCAGTTGAAATAAAAATAACAAAAATATCTATTCAGAAACCACTAGAAAAAATATATGTATCATTGCTTGGTACAAATTATTTACTGCAGTTGAACAGCCAGGAAATGCCTTAATAACATTATAAAACATAAAAAAAGATTAGGGATTAAATCATTCTTGTCAGTCTAAAATTAGAGGTTGCAGATTTCCAGTTATATGTACAATACCTTTTAAGACTTAAAATGCTGGAATGAAAAACTGCCCCTACTGAAAAAAGATGGGAGACCACCAAATCTTCCCTTGCCAAAGGGAACTGATGGCTTTTGATTTACTGCCATGCTGGTCTCTCACTTACCAACAAGGTAGCAGCTAAGTAGAACCTTACTCACCTCCTCAAAATCATCACATAGAATAAAACCCAGCATCCTTACAAGGTCTAGGAGCCTACAGGATTTGGCACCCAGCTATTTCTCTGCCTACATTTCCTACCACATTCTCAAATTCCACCAGCACCACCAGTGCAGTCTAGCCACATGTGCCTCCTTGTCATTCCTTCAACAACCAAGCACTTGGTCTTTGCATGTCCTGTTTCCTCTGCCTTGAACATTCTTTCTCACTTTGCCTAGAGAGTATATTTTATCAGATAAAATTTTAAGTTTTCAAAAAGGCAAATAAATACTCACCATTAAAAGCAATTTTCTTAACATAAATTTCAGCTGATTGTCCTTCTTTGTAATTTTCCATGGGAAAGACCAAACCTTTGATTCTCTTTACGTTGATTAAAGGTTCTATTGCAACAAGAAGAATTAAATCCTTTTCTGCTTTCTTTGACTCTGGATCATCCTGCCTCTAAGAGAAGTATATCCCACAAGTTAATAATTCAAAGCCATCTTAACAAAATAAAAACAAATTATTGGTTTTGTATATGTTACCTGGAGAAAATCAATAAGCTGCCCAGCTAAAGATTCAAATAAACTCCATTCCTCATAAGTAAAAGCTAACTTTACAAATTTCACAGCGGCATCTATAGAAATAACATTTTTTCCTTTTACAGTAAGTTGCAAAAGAGATGTTTGTGGAAAATCAAGCATTCCATCTGCACCAGTATTTGACACTAGAAAAGGAAAAAGAGAGGTTTGAATGTCACTCATGCAAAGAACTATTTATTAAATATTAACTAACAGATACTGCTAGGCACAAGAGAAACAATGGAAAAGAAGCAAATACAATCCCTACCTTTACAGAGCTTATACTCTAATGGGGAAACAAGTAATCTTAGAAGGGAAATACAGGGTGCTGTGGGGACAAATAAGAAGGGCATCGAACATGGGTTTGAGGTAGGAGAGTGGTCAAGGTCGTCCAGCCAGAGGAAGGAACATAGAATCCCAAACACAGAGAATTAGCAAGAGTTAACTAGTCAAATAGGTAGCTAGATATTACAAACTGAAAGCTCAGGAAACAGGTCTATAATAGGGATACAGCTTTAGAGTCATCATTATATATCCATAGTAAACAACAGAAGCAGCCATGGGCAATGTACAGCTGCCTAGGACAGGAGAATTACAACCCCCAACACGTAAGAGAAGGGTAGAGGGAGAAAACGCTGCAAAGAAGAGTGTTTAGAAAGGAGTATTCAACAGTAACAAATACTAGAGTGTAAAGGAAGAAAAGCACTGAGAAGGGACCCTTGGATTGAACAAAAAGGAAGTTGTCCATGACATTTTCCGTAGAGGGCTGAGGACAGAGGGCTGAACACTGTATAAGTAAGAAGGAAAGAATTTAGAACAGTGGAAATAGACAATTCCTGACTAAAACAAGAGGAAGAAATACAGGGAGGGAGCTGAAAGAGGACATGGGATAAAGGGACAGTTTGGAAAGATTAGACTAAAAGACTTCAAAAGGAAGAGAAGGAACACCCCATCCATTTTAAAGAGAGATAGTGGAAAGGATGGGTACAGGTGAGGGTAAATTTTCAAGTGTGGGTAGAGGAAACCTCATCTGAGATCGTTTTCTTCATGGAGAAGAGATGAGCCCAAACTGTAGCAGAGAAACTCCCTTCCTGCAGACGGGCATGCACATGTACACACACACACCCTAAACTCACTTGAAAGTACACATGCTAAGGTCTAGGCTTTCACCTCTCTTTCCAGGTAGATATTGTGGACAAGTCAGGTGATTGCTCCAAAGCAACAGGGTAAGCTCATGAAAAAATAAAGTTAAAAACACAAACACTTTGAAACAAAGACCACTAATGAAAACATTTTTTACCAGAGGAAGCAGAAAAATAGAAAAGAGTAAACACTTAAGCTTAATAAGTATTCTCTCAAGGAAATAGAGGATTTTAGAAACATGAAGCGAGAACAAACTGCTGTGAAAAAGAATCAAACAGAGACTAGGTATAAATTACTTTATTGTTGAAACAAAGAATTCAATAGATGAATGGAATAGAAGAGCAAGAACCAAAGAACAAATTAGTGACCTGGAAAGTTGAATTGAGGAACCTTCCCAGAAGGCAACAGAAAGGAATAAAGAGATTAAAATAATTAAATAAGATAATGGAGAGTGGACGTGTTAACATCCGCTATTAGGGCCCTCAGAGAATTATTTTTTAAGATTTTATTTATTTATTTGAGAGAGAGAGAGAGCACAAGCAGGAGTATGGCAGAGGGAGAGGGAGAAGCAGGCTTGCCGCTGAGCAGGGAAACCAACATGGGGCTCTATCGAGGATCATGACCTGAGCTGAAGGCAGACACTTAACCAACTGAGCCACCCAGGTGCCCCCCCTCAGAGAACTTTTTTTAAATATTTATTTATTTATTTAACAGAGAACGGGGATGGGCAGAGGGAGAGAATCTTCAAGCAAACTCCCTGCTGAGCGCAGAGCCAGACACAGGGCTCAATCTCGCAATCCATGAAATCATGACCTGAGCCAAAACCAAGAGTCGGATGCCTAACTGACTCAGCCATCTAGGTGCCCCAAGAATTTTTTTAAAAAGTAAACATAAGGGGAAGAAACAAAGAAGTAAGATAAAAAATGAAAGAAAGATGTAAGACCTCAAAGTACCTCCTGTATTACCAAACCTACCCCTAGACCGAATATAACGAAATGTAAGAACATCACAGGAAAGGACACTGTTAAAGCTAAATCTGTAAAACAACAAGGTTTAAACTGTTGAGAGACAGGCGCCTGGGTGGCTCAGTTGGTTAAGCAACTGCCTTCGGCTCAGGTCATGATCCTGGGGTCCCCGGATCAAGCCCCGCATCAGGCTCCCTGCTCAGCGGAGAGCCTGCTTCTCCCTCTCCCACTCCCCCTGCTTGTGTTCCTGCTCTTGCTGTCTCTCTCTCTCAAATAAATAAATAAAATCTTAAAAAAGAAAAACAACTGTTGAGAGACTTCTCAATACCATATAGAAGACTATGGTGAGGGGCGCCTGGGTGGCTCAGTCATTAAGCATCTGCCTTCGGCTCAGGTCATGATCCCAGGGTTCTGGGATTGAAGCCCCACATTGGGCTCGAAGTCTGCTTCTCCCTCTCCCATTCCCCCTGCTTGTGTTCCCTCTCTCGCTGTGTCTCTCTCTGTCAAATAAATAAATAAAATCTTTTAAAAAAAAAAAGACTATGGAGAAATGTCTTTAAAATTCAAAAAGAAACAAACTTCTAAGCAAAATATTATATCTAGCTAAACTATTTCAAAGTTCTTAGAGTTTGTATTTGAGCAAAAAGAAATGAATTTAGAAGTAGTGAAAAATGGGAAAGATGAAGGAAAAGGCTTAATAGTGTATTCACTATCTTAAAAAACAATGACCAGGACTTGTATCTAGAACATACAAAGAATTCTCAAAATTCAATAGAAAAAATAAGCAATTCGATTAGAAAACTGGCAAAAGACACTAAAGAGAAAGAGAATATGAAGGTGGAAAATAAATATATGAAAAGATGTTCAGCATCATTACCCATTAGGGAAAAGCCACAATGAAATAGCACTATACACCTCTCAGAATGGCTAAAAGAAATAGTGATAACACCAAATACTGTCGAGGATGTTATAAAACTGGATCACTCATACATTGTGAGTGGGAATGTGAAATGGTACAGTCAACCTGAAAGACAGTATGGCAATTTTCCACAAAACAACATACACACTTACCCAGCAATTATACTCTTGAGCATTTATCCCAGAGAAATGAAAACGCATGTGCACACAAAGAACTGTATTCAAATGCTCATAACAGCTGTATCCTAAGAGCCAAAAACTGGAAAGAACTCAAATGTCCTTCAACAGGTAAACAGTCAGACAAACTGTGATACAACCATACCATGGGCTACTCCTCAGCAATTCTAAAAAGTGAACTATTAATGCACACAACAACTTGGATACATCTCAAAGTAATTATACTGAGTAAAAAAACACATGTATAGTCACCTCGTTTATGGCAAAAGGATACTACAGTCAATGGGGAAAGGAAGGTCTCTTCAATAAATGGTGTTGTGTCAACTAGATGTTATATGGAAATAAATAAATCTTGATTTCTACCTCATACCAACAAAAACAAAATTGAGACCTAAAGCTTCTAGAAGAAAACATTGGACTACATCTTTATGACATTACAGTACAGAGATTTTTTAAACATGACACAAAAATGGTTAACTATAAAGGCTATACTGATAGACTGGACTACATTAAAATTAAGAATTCCTGTTCCTTAACAGCTATAATTAAGAGAATGAAAAGGCAAGCCACCAAGTGGGAAAAGATATTTGCAATATATACATATTCAACAAAGAACTTATATCCAGAATCTATAAAGAATTCTGACAAACCAATAAGAAAAAAACAAATAGCCCAATAGAAAAATGGGCAAAAGATGGTTCACAAAATGGCCCCCTTCCACAGAGGGCAAGGAGAGACTGAAAAAGAGGCAGACCATTCCAGATTGGTAGGTGGTAATTTTAATAAAGCAAAGGAATTTATATATAAAGCTTGTCTATACAGTTTCCCCAGAAGATTTAAGTGGGTTCAGTCACGTATACCATCCACCTGGTCTCAACAACACCTTACTCTCTACATCCTTGAAACCGCTGCTAGTACAAGAATAGTAGGTAGGACATACACACCAAGGACAGGGTGGGGTGGGAGATGGGGAGTTTAAGGAGCCTCCAAATGCCTGGGTCCAGCTCAAGAATTAACTGGTAGTCATATCCTCTTGATGACCTCCTCCAACAAATCTGAACAGGCACTTTGCAAAATAGGATATCCAAATGGTGAAGAAATATATGAAAAAGTGCCCAACTTCATTAGTCATCAGAGAAATGCACATTAAATCCATAATACTACTGAATTTGCTGAATTCACACCAGAATGGACAAATGAAAAAGACAAAGAAATCTAAGTGTCCAAATTTGGAGCAATTAGAACTCTCATAAAATGCTGCTGGTGGTATAATTGGTACCAAAAAAAATAAATAAATAAATCATTTTGGAAACCAGTATCCGCTACAGCAAAACACACACATACCCTATGCTATATCAATTCCACACCAAAAGAAATGCATAGCAGATGATGTTCTCTTTCAGCAATTTACAAAACAAGCAGACCAAAAACATCAGTAGGAATAGAGAAGACTTAACTACATGATTTACAAACTTCACCTAATCAACATATATATAAAGCAATGTACCCAACAATGAAAGAACATAGAGTCTTTCCAAGTATATACAGACTATTTACCAAAATTGACAAGTTAGGCCATAAACGACATCTCAACAATTTCAACAGCTTCAAAGAATATCAAATAGAATATGCTTTCTGGCCACAATATAAGTAAGCTAGAGATCAATACAAAAAAACAATTAGCACATCTCCATGTTTTTTGACTCATGACATGGTATCAAAAAAAAAAAAAAGCACAATGGGAATTTGAAAATATTCTTAACTAAATGATAATGAAGGTATGATAAATCAAAACTTCAGGTACATAGCTGCAGTTGCATTTAGAGACAAATGCCTTAATATACATATGTTAAATAAGGATAAATCCTAAAAAATCAATGATCTAAGCTTCCAAGTCAATAAATTTTTAAAAATCAGCAAAGTAAACCCAAGAGAGTAGAATAAGAGAAATAAAAAAGAACAGGAACTAATAATTTGGAAAACAAATATACAATAGAGAGGATAAACACAAATATTGCTCATGGAAAAAGACTAATGAAATTGATAGACTCCTGAGGAAACTGATGAAATGAGAGAAAAAGGCAAGCTGACCACTACTAGGTATGAAAAAGAGGAGCCCAGACACCTACAGATCTTATAAAGAAGATTAAGAAGATCATAATGAGATATTATAAATAATTTTATGAAAATTTGAAAATATTGGATCAAAAAATATAATTTTCTCAAGTTCTATTTACCAAACTGATAGATTTTTTTAATGAAAAGAAAGCATAAATCATTTTATATCTATGAGAAATTTTTAATCCATAGTTAAAAACCTTTCCACAAAGAAAATTCCAGTAAATTCGATCGAACATGTAGGAAGAAATAACATCAATCTGACACAAAATCTTTCAGATAAGAGAGAAAGAGAGTGCACTTCTCAACTCTTTATATGAGGTCAATATGACCTTGAAAGCAAAACCTAAAAAGGACATTACAAGAAAGGAAAATCTGTCTTATGAACAGAGAAGCAATATAATAAACATTAGCAAACAAAATCAAATAATATATCAAAAGGATAATCCTCACCTCCACATTAGACTTATTCCAAAAATACAGGGTGGTTAAAAATTAGATAAGCAATCAATGTAATTTACCACATTAATAGAAATAAACTAGAAATCCACTCAATCAACTCAACAAATCCAGAAAAGCCTTTGATGAAATTCAACAACTATTCAGAATTAAAAACAAACAAACGAAACTCAGCAAACCAAGAATAAAAGAAACTTCCTTAATATGGAGAAAAGGTATCTAAAAAAATCCTTCAGCAAACATCAAAATTAATGGTAAAATGTCAAAAGCTTTCCATGTGAGATCATAAATGAGACAAGCATATCTGCTATCACCACTTCCATTTCATGTTTTATTAGAGATCCTATCCAGTGCAATAAGCCAAGAAATGCAAGAAAGAAGAAATTAAAAGATTAAGAATTGGAAAGAAAGAAATACAATAGTCATTATTCACAGGTAAGATGATAATATACCTAAGCAAATCCAAAAGAAAATCTCATAAATTATTTAAATTATCAGTTGAGTTTAACAAGATTGCTGAATTTAAGATAAAAAAAATTGGGTATCAGTTTCTTATATGTGGAATACCATAATAAAATTTTTGTTTTTCATGTTCTACCATAATATATTATTTTAACAAACTATTTACTTATTAAAAGTTCTTTTCCTGCCATAAACAATTCTGAGACAACATCACGAACTTCTACTTCATCTGTAACAATAGGTCCAGTTTGTAGTGTGCGCCTGTTTGAATCAGAAAGAGCTTCTAAGACAGCCAGAAACCGGGATGCGGTGCTGTCAAACATCTCATCCAACAGCCGCTCTGTGATGGTACGTGGCCACGGCAACTGGAATAAAAACAAAAACCACAGTCCACTTCTTTAAAGTTCTACAATGTTTAATATTATAAGCAAAGAGAAGTAAGGCATGCTTCATTAATGCTAAGAGTGGCTGGCCTATCATTAAGATGGCTACTTTTATGGTGTTCATTTTTGAGGTGTTTCTCCAGACTCCATTAAAGTTTATGTCATGACACCATTACGTCAAAGACTGCTATTTCTTTATGTTCCTGTTTCCAAGGCAGCATTAAAAGGCTGTTTATTACTGTCTTTTTATTAGGGCAACATCAATCTCCATATGCTTTGTGTTACCTTAATTACAGCCTTCAGGAACTGATACTCAAACTTTGGTTGCCTAGGAATCTCTCAGGAGTGCTTATTTTTTTTTAAGATTTTATTTATTTATTCATGAGAGAGAGGCAGAGGGAGAAGCAGGCTCCCCAAGGAGCACGGAGCCCGATGCAGGACTCGATCCCAGGACCCCGGGATCATGACCTGAGCCGAAGGCAGACTCAACCATCTGAGCCACCCAGGCACCCCTCAGGAGTGCTTCTTAGATTCACAGACCAAATCTTGAGATTCAGTGGGTCTAGATGGGGCACTTTTCATAAGCACCACAGGAAATTCTAATGCAGAAGGTCCTTAAACCCAAATTTGAAAGAATATTTCACAGTATAAATAGCTGGTCTTGTGGTAGTTAACGAAAGAAGAATTGACCAGCTGTATAGTAATATGCTAATGACTGTTACGAGCCCTGTATGAATTCCCAGCCACTCTGCTTAATGATTTCCCCTCCTGCCTATGACTTGCCTCTACACTATTCTTCTGACAACTGATCTGTTCTCTGTATTTAAGTTACCAGTAAGTAAGAGAAGTAGCTCTGGTCAGCTTTTTTAGAATCCATGTCCAGTTACAAGATACCCATCATATTCCCCATGATTCCCCTGCTTCTCTCCTCTTCTTGGGGCAAAGTCAGAAAGACAGAAAAACATAAACAGGGTTAAAACTGCCTTGGACTATTTCTCCCCAAACATCAACTTCTCTACTCATTAGCTTCTATGACTTTTCAATCCATAGGTACTGATAGGTTAAAAACCTCAATGAACTTGAACTTCATGCCCTAGCCTTTTACAAACAGAGGTAAGGGTTTCTTCTAAGAATTTTACTGTAGGTTAAAACAGAGCTTTTAAAAAATTATACTTAGGGGCACCTGGGTGGCTCAGTTCGTTAAGCAACTGCCTTCGGCTCAGGTCATGATTTCAGGGTCCTGGGATCGAGCCCCGCATCGGGCTCCCTGCTCGGCGGGAAGCCTGCTTCTCCCTTTTCCACTCCCCCTGCTTGTGTTCCCTCTCTCGCTGTCTCTCTCTCTCTGTCAAATAAATAAATAAAATCTTTAAAAAAATAAAAAAATAAAAATAAAAATAAAAAATTATACTTAAAAGCATAATAAACTTTCTAATAATTAGAAGTATTCAAAATGAAATTATAAAAACCAAAGATTATAGTTAAATTGTTTTTAGAAATACCATAGAAAAACTAGCAAAAAGTGAAATAGAATAGTTATCAGAGCTGTAGATGAATACCAAGTAAAACATTTTAAAATATAAATATTTAAAAGATCTATAAAAAAGATTTAAGGCAATAAAAAAACAATGGGTTGCCAAGCATGACAAGCAAATTATTAATGTCTACAAAAATGAGTTCATTTAAGTATATTTTAAAAATTAAAATCTCTAGTAGATAAATGGTCAAAAACTGTGGAAGATAAAATTCACAGAAGGAAATAAAAAGAGTAAACACAAATATAAGGGAAAGTTGGATCAAAGAAATAGTTAAAATGACAAGCCATTTTATAAAAACTGAATTATTTAAAAAATAAAGAGGGATGCCTGGGTGGCTCAGTCAGTTAAGCATCTGACTCTTGATTTAGGCTGAGCTCATGATCTCGGGGTCGTGGGATCGAGCCCCAAGTCGGGCTCTGCACTCAGCACAGAGTCTGCCCTAGATTCTCTCTCCCACTCTCTCCTGCCCCTCCCACCGCGTGCTCTCTCTCTCTCTCAAATAAATAAATAAAAATCTTTTTTAAAAAATAATAGCAAAATGATAACAGCTTGTAGTGAAATTGGTACCTGCAGGCTGTACCTTGCATAGCTATTTCAGAAATCAATTTGGGAATATATATCAGGAGAAATAAAAGTGCTTGTATCCTTTGATTCAAATCCTACATCTTGAACTTTGTCCACAGGAAATAAAAAAAAATAGCACATTGCAGCTGTTATTTCAATATTTAAAATAACAAAGAACTGGAAACAACTAAAATTTTAAATAGTAATAAAAATATTTGACAAGTTACGGTACAAATACTGCATAGAGTATGTTAGACCACCTTTAAAAACATCCGGATGGATGAGAAGCTAAATGACATGATCCAGATAGTGTGTTTAACTTCTAAATACTATGGTTTCTATGACAAAAAATTTGAAAGAATATTTCACAGTATAAATAGCTGGTCTTGTGGTAGTTAACGAAAGAAGAATTGACCAGCTGTATAGTAATATGCTAATGACTGTTACGAGCCCTGTATGAATTCCCAGCCACTCATATCCATGAGATATATTATATTAATCTCCAACATAATATACCTAGCCCAGTCAAGCTTAATTTCTCACTGTCCGCCAATAAACTTTGTTTGCTCCTGCTTCCAAGCTATCATTGTGCTCTTGTCCTGTACTTAGAATGTTTTATCCTCTCCTCCCTACCCACTCAAATCCTGCTCATTATTCCAAGGCCATTCAAAAAGACAGAACTGTGACTTTGCTTTTCTATATTCCACCATACATGTAACCACAGTAGGCATTTGAAACATTCTGTTAAATGAATGAATAAAAATAAATAATAGTAATAGCTAATATTCCTAAGGACCTACTGCATGCCAGAAACATTCTAAGGGCTTTACATGTAATTCATTTAATCTCTACCATTATTTCCTTTTTTTTTTTTAAAGATTTTATTTATTTATTTGACAGAGAGAGACACAGTGAGAGAGGGAACACAAGCAGGGGGAGTGGGAGAGGGAGAAGCAGGCCCCCCGCCAAGCAGGGAACCCGATGCGGGGCTCGATCCCAGGAGCCTGGGATCCTGACCTGAGCCGAAGGCAGATGCTTAACGACTGAGCCATCCAGGCACGCCTCATTATTTCCTTCTTAATACTTATCACAAACTATAATTACTGTACTTATTTATTATGTAATTTCTCCACTAGAATGTAACTCCTATCTATCTTGTTCATATAGCAGGTAGTTTAAAAATATTTATTGAATGAATCACTAAACAGTCAGTCATTAGGAGTATGGATTAGTAGTCCTTTAAAGGAATCCTTTGAAAGTCAAACTGATTAACTGTGAGTTTACAATGGATTTACAAATTCAGAAATGTTTTATAAAATAGATTTAACGTGTATTGAAATTATTTTCTTTTGCAGACACATAATAAAATTATTTCATACATATAAAGCAGAACATTCTGCAAAGTATGTCAAGGTAATATACTATGACTTTATAAAAAGGGTATGTTGACTATTCCCTATAGAAACTACCAACTAAACAATTATAACTTTTTTCTAAAAAGATATACCACCAGACTTTTCCATAAGATAATTATCTTTTTTTTTTTAAGGATTTTATTTATTTGACAGAGAGAGACACAGCGAGAGAGGGAACACAAGCAGGGGGAGTGGGAGAGGGAGAAGCAGGCTTCCTGCGGAGCAGGGAGCCTGATGCGGGACTCGATCCCAGGACCCTGGGACCAGGACCTGAGCCGAAGGCAGACACTTAATGACTGAGCCACCCAGGCGCCCCTCTATAAGACAATTATCTTAAGGGAAACCAGAAATAGATGTGTTTTTAATGTAATGTTATCTGGAATTTGAAACACTTCTCTTTGGAAATATATTTAATTTTTATTGAAGGATGATTATAAAGCATAATAATATGCTAATTGATGACAGTCTTGCAGCTTTGGATACTTAAATTTGGTTTACTCAGAGAAAAAAAAATTGCTAGCCAGAAAAAAAAATACCTACCCCTTGCTCTCTTACAAATGCTATAGAGCATTACTACTCAACAATACCAGATGCGGGGGTGCCTGGGTGGCTCAGTCATTAAGCGTCTGCCTTCAGCTCAGGTCATGATCCTGGGGTCCTGGGATCGAGCCCCACATAGGGCTCCCTGCTCAGCAGGAAGCCTGCTTCTCCCTCTCCCACTCCCCCTGCTTGTGTTCCTTCTCTCTCTGTGTCTCTCTGTCAAATAAATTTAAAAAAAAAAAAAAAAAAAAACAATACCAGATGCAGGCAGTTCCACAGCTCATCCAAAGAATTACCTATGATTGGGCAAGTCACCACCCCCACTGATTATCCACCATTGGTCAGTAAGGGATATGATTTTAAAAGGACGTATGAAATGTACCTCTGGGCTCAGCAGCCAACATACCATAGTCAAACTAAGAAGCAATAGAAAGCTACCATGCCCACATAATTTTCGTATTTAGATATTATGATTTATTTTAGAGAAAAGAAAAATAACTTCTCCGAAATGTTATAAGAAGAAATGCGTGAAAAGAGCAGCAGGCATCGGAGTAATGAGAAAGCACTGGACCAGAGTCCTGCGGCTGCCTTTGTGACCTTTGAGGCCATAGTTTAAATACTCTGGGCTTTATGTTCCCATATGTAATAGGATAGGACTGGACCAGATGATTTCTTAAATTTCTTCCAGGTTCTGAAATTCTACTACTCTCCTGTCCAAAACTGCTCATCTTCCCCTTCACTTTCATTTTTGGTCCCTAGCAAGAAGTTCACAGAAAAATTTACAGCCATCTAGGATACTCAGGGAAAGCTTCAAAGAAAAAAACCGAACTGGGCCTTCAGGGATACTGAGATTCAGAAAGGCAAGGGCAAGATAGTGGGAGGACAAGGCAGGGGGAGAAAGGGCAGAGGACCCCAGAAGGCATAACTATGTCCCAGTCTTCCACCCCGACAGCCCTTAGTACTGCTAACCAAACACGCCTGTCGCCAGGAGAGCCGTATGACGAGTTTTGACATGTGAGAAGAGACTGCGGTCCCTTCCATGCTGGGCGTATTGCCTGCGCACAATTCTCCAGAGCTTTCTCCAATGCTCTACGGCAGAACGACCAGCAACTTTTGAAATGAGGGCTTCTCCTCACCCTCACCCTTAGCAGAGCCCCCTGTGAACTGCCGTAGCCATCATGTCAGTGGGAAATAAAGGTTGTTTTAAGCCACTGAGATATAGGGGTTGTTTTGCCTCAGTGTAGCCTGGTTCCTGAACACTCCCAAGAGTGAAGTCTGAAGCTGAGGAGAGAAGGTGCCTCCACCTTCTCTCCAACCTCAAAGCCCACTAAGCTAACACCAAGCAGTCAAAGGCAAAGGCCTCCGTGGCACCACTCCAAGTTCGCATTTGAAACTTTCCCAGGCTCTTCTTCTTCATCTTGCCCTTTAAAGTTACAAAACTGGGATTGTGGGAAGGTATAAAACTTTAAGAAAGGGACGGAGTGAGGCTGTGTCCAAAGTGGGAAGGCATTCCTCTATTTGCCATTGGTGCCTAGAACAGGGGGCAGGATTTAATACTGAGTGACCAGGCTTCAAAGATGGGAGGTATAACACAAATATACTGCAAAAAGAATTTGAACAAGAGAAGACATTCTTAGACTTACAGTTTGAGCTTCCCTCAGGTTAACTCTTATCTTTGGTCTAAAGAAACTTTTGTTTTTTCTTCTAGATTCAAATACTCCTCTTTTGAAGATCATCACTGCCATCTGTTTCAGAAAAAGAATTATATATGAGGTAACAATGGGATGCACTTCTCAACCACTAACATTAAGTACTTAATCAACTATATAGTGCAGTAAATTTCTTTTATTTCATGAAACTTTTATACCTTTATTGTGGCCTCTCTATAATGTCTTCTGGATTCTTCCTGTGATTGTGAGGAACTCATTAATTCCAGTTGCCTTAACTCATCAATTTTAGCTAAAGCACGCCGAGCAAATGCCTGTATGCAATTAAAATAAATTTAATTCATAATAAGTGAGAGTATAGTGATTAAAAATGTATCAAGACAGCATGTTTTATTCTTCCAGATATTTGATTTAATTGGTGAATTAAACTCTAGGTTGATGCTAACTCCTTATAACACTATAACTATCCCACCAATCATCTCCTACAAGCATCCCAAAATTCTGCAGGTCTAAAGTTAATAAGCTGTCAGATACACTAACTTTATGAATCAAGAAAATCAAAAAAGTAAGAAAAGCCAAATTCTGTAGCTTCATATAGATGATCACTTCTCTGGTATCACATACCCACACACACACGGCACACACACCCTTCCTCGAAATACTGACTTTCTTACTAAAGCATCCTGTACTATCTAGTCAACTGTTCACTTTATCCACTAAATTGTGAGGTCCTCATAGGCTCTTATTTATTTTTGTATCTCTAGTACCCAGCATATAGGAAATATTTACTAATATCTGGACAAAAAAGAAGGAAGGAAGGAAGGAAGGAGACCTGCTTATTTAATCAGATCACCATTATTATGATTCTCTACAGTACAATTTATGTCATTTATTTTACCATTTCTTTGAAATATTTCATCTATAATTTATAATTTTTCATGTAAATGCTTCTAGACATAATAACATACATGAAGGGTTAAATTTTCCAGTAAGGAAGAATTCCAATAGGAATCAAATAGTCCAAACTGTGTATATGTTCCCTTCCCTGACAATTTTAATAGCTACAGAAACATGTCACTGCTAGTACACACTCTAACTACATGCACGGTGAATAGTTTCTAGAATGTACCCCGGGCTAGAAAATGTACCCCTCAAGGGCTGCATTAGGCTATTCAGGACAAGCCACTACCATCCAATCCTTCAGAATTAGTTTGGGCAGGAAACATTAAATGTAAAGAAGTCGCTAACCGGCCTGATGGTTGTGAACAGGATACGAAAAGAAGATTTGTACAGATGTGATGGTTCTGTCCTGCACAAGACTTCCAGCCAAGAGGTTGAGTGAGGGCTGCAATCCAGCCCCCCCTGCACTCAGCAGACCATGCACTCTGTGGAGGCCTGAAGGAAGGGGTGCCTGCTTCTGATTCTCACCAAGCCCTCACCCAGTGACAAGCCAGCTACCACGTACTGTAGAGAGGGCGCCTTTGTTCATGGACACAGAGGTACCATAAAGGCTAATAGAAGCACCTAACGGCTAAGTTACGTTTCAAGAATTCGGTCTAAGAGATACACAGGAAAAGAAGAAAAACAAGAAATCGGGCGTATTAAACAAATGGCAGCTGGAAGCAGAGAAAAGCAAGACGAATGGACTGTAGGGGGACTGGAAGGAAAGTGACTTGCATACAAGCATCCAATGAGGAAGATAAGATACCTGAAATCTTGTCCAGAAAAGGGACAGAGGAGGCAGAAGTGAACGGAGAAGAAAGGAGAGAGCAGAATACAGAACAAGAGATCAACAGAATGGAGAAGCCAAGCACATTTCTGCAAATAAACCCTGGGACTTGTGTCTTGTCCCAGTGCAATTCTTTAGGTTTCGTTTGTCTGTTTGCATTTGTGTTGCTGGGTATCTGAAGAAGAAAATGCTGAATAACTTATATTTTTAAATACTGGAATCCTGAGCGTGGAAGGCGGCCCACCTCTCCGTGAATGCCAGCCTGGCAGTCATAGTAGCCCTGGCAGACAGCGGTGTAAAGGGTAGCTCTCCACGTCAAGTACCTGACCGACAGGAGGGGGACCGAGAACTCCATACACGAGCTGGCCCACAGGAGGTACTCCAAGGCCTGAGGGAGAAAAAGCACACTCGAATGTATTTCCATTTTAAGTTATCAGTGACGATTTCTATCTAATATAACCAAATTATATAAGTCATGAGCACAAGTTGCTGACTGCTTAAACCAAAAATGCCATAGATAGTGAGTCAAGAGAAAACAAGCTCTTAAAAAAGTAAAGGAACAATTTCAAGAACTCGAAATCTCAAGTTAGTGATTTTAGGATGTCTTCCTTCTTAGCTCCTAAAGTGCTCTGAACTCAGCTGGTTTTTATTAATATTGGTCAAGTGTCCACAGCAGTGTAGGAGGTAATTTACATTATGTTTCTATACCTACATATCTCCGTTATATCCAATGCCATTAATATGCTCACATGGGTGTGATTCCAAAGCTAGACTGTAATCTCTTTGAAAACAAGAATGGCACTTTGTTATTATATCATCAGCACCTGAAAGAGTACCAGGCACACAGTAGATATCCCCAAGTGCTATTAAATGAATTCTGTGGACAAACCTTAAAGTCAGCAGAATCAACACAGGAGAGCTAACAAGTCTTTGAGTCGCTCAAGAAAATAATGATAATAAATTTGGACAACAGAATAAAGTCCTTCTTCCAATAACAAATTTGGCCCTCAATAATTGAGGAAGTAATTAAGGAAAAATACGTCTGTAATAGTCAACTCTTGAAAAGGCAAATCATCAAAATGATCCAGGAGCTTCATATGCATAAAGCAAACCCACCACACTGACATAGTATTTAATAGTAAAAATAGATAAAACACCGCTAACATTCAAACCCTATTACCATCTCTGGAGCCTTCAAAGACAGTACATACAACACATGTACAAGCATCTCAGCTTTCTCATCTAAGAGAAAGAAACCTGAAAGGCCAGAATTCTCCACTGTCTAGTCAGATTTGATTCCGGAAGAAAAGAGAGTGCTGGAAGTAGAGCAGAGTTTGACACAGAATTGTAATATTCTTTGCTATCCACTAAGCTCATCCCACCAGAATGTAAAGTCACTTAGGAAAGGGACCTTGTCTGTCTTGTCCACCACCATATCCCCACCTCCTAAAACTATCTGGTGTATAATGGTAAATATTACATAAATATGTGTTGACTGACTGACCTTCATCAAAAAGCTCCAGTTAATGGTGCTAAATATGGAACTATGTCAAGTAATCATAGAATCAAAGGGCTGAAAGTCAATCTAATTTCATCCCCACCAATATCACTGGCACCACCACCAGATGTCCTATACCTTCCCCTGTCCAAGAGTTCTCACCTCTAGTAACAAGGAACACGCCACCAGAAGACAATGCTAAAACATGAAAAGTGCTTCCTTAATCTAAAATGAAATCCATCTTCATATACCTCCAGTGCACTGGTCCTAGTTATGCCTTCTGGAATAACACAAAACCATCCCAAGCCCACTTCCAACTTACAGTCTTCCAAGAATCAGAAAACACCTATGCATCCTGTCTTCTCCCCCATCTCTCTCTCTCCAAGATAAACAACCCTGGGCACTTTTTAGATCTCCTAGGACTGCACTTCCCTTCATCATGGTTAGTCTCTCGTGGTTTTGCTCCAGGCTGCCAAAGTCCTTTAGAGTACAAGACTTCTTCACAGTAAAATGAAACTTTCAGTCCCTGGTTCTGGACACTACATCTCTACTAAGTGGGCCCAGGGTTGCTTTATTGCTGTTGTTGTTGTTGTTTGCTAAGCTTGCCACGCTGTGAACTGAGGTGGAGTTAACAGTCATCCAAACGAGTTTTCTCACATTTGTCACACAAAAATCCTATCGTGGATTTTTGCATATGTACTGTTGTGGTTTGTGGGGGTATGGGATCAACCATGTATAAATTTTCCCCCTTTAAATTCACATATCTTTTCAAAACCCCTTGGGATCGCTGATATTAGAAATTTCACATTTCAAAATAAAAATAGTTTTAGTCACCAATTGCTCACATTACATTTGGGTTCATATTCAGACTTAGAATAAAAGACCCCGATCACATATTTTAGTGCCAGAGGGACCTTAAAAGTAACCCAATCTAACTCCAAGAGGCTAAACTGCTTGTAAGCAACAGAGCTGGGGCTGGAATTCAGGTCTTTGGACTCCCAAGTACAGCAGTGGTCCTTCCACAATATGCGGCAACCCTGACAAAGGAGGAGTTCTGAAAACCCATCATTCCACTTAGGGTTCTGAAAAACTGTCAGGTTTAAAGATGAAAAAGCCATCTCTAAAAAAAAAAAGAAAATCTTAATTTGTAGCCTTTTTTCTTGCCCCTAAAAGCTCGGAAGAAGAATTTCTATTACTAAAAAAAAAAAAGTTGATGGGATTTCAGTGAACTGTTCTCTTTATAAGGGAAAAAAACTTTGAAAAACCCAGTTATAAGAGCCCTGCAAGAGCATGCTCAGGTGTTGAGCAGGAAAAACACACGCGATCCACCATCTCAGCCACAGGATGGCGCTGCAGCACCATCTATGTCCTCTTGTACCCTTGGCTGAAAACACAGAGACATTTCAGTTTGGATTTGAAGTTTACGTAAAGGTACGTGGAATAATTTGACAGTAATTGTTCAAACCACAAAATTTTACTAAACTATTTCAGTTCTATAGTAAAATGAAAAAGAAGTCAACTTTTTTTTTTAATGAATAGATTCTACCGTTTTTCTCTAATGTTTGCTGAGTACCCTACTACAGTTTTAAATGCCTCAGAAGAAATTACAGATTAAACCGTAAGTGAAAGCGAAGTTGTCATATGTCTTTAGGAAAAGAAGCTTCAGAAATCTGGCCTCCCTCCACTCCCTAAGGTTATGCTGGTGACCTGTCTGAGCACGAAAGTAAGTGTTTCCCATCTAGGGAAAAGTCCCTGGACAGTCCCGGTCTTCAGGACATCTTCAGGAATACAGAGTCGGGTCGAAAACTATTAACCCTCCTGCATGGCTCCTCCATTTGAGTAGGTGGACCAAAATAGGATGGGTCATGACAGGACTAAATTTAGTCGACAGGCATGCTTTACTGTAACGGTGTTGAGAGGCAGTACAGTATAGCATTGACCCCAGCTACCCCGCTCTGTGAGACATTGAGCCTCAGCCTCCTCATCTTTAAGCTGAAGGTAATAATAGCACCTTTCTCAAAGTGGTGGTATGAGGATTAAATGAGATAATATGTGAAGAAAGTGCTTAGCAGCATACCTGATAAATGGCAGGCATTCATTTGACAAATGATGATGATGAGAGTGCACACCTCATAAGGCTATACTGAGCGTTACATATGCAAAGCCCTTCACATAATACCTAACACATAGTAGGGATTCAATAATAATAACAAATGGTAGCCATACTGTCTAAATCCTGTAGGAACAGGAGCTTAGATTGCTCTAGGATGACACCAGGAAAACCCTGGGGATCCCATGTCTGTTTCTCTTTCTGTTGTATGTAACAGACTCAAATTCTAAAACTGCTCATACTCAGAAGTGCTCAGATGTGGCTGGACCTCCAAGGGCTTGTCCCCATTAAATGGACCCATCAAGTTCATTTATAGCCTCAGCTCAGGAATCAACTCACCAGCTGAGGGCTTGGGAATTTCTGGGTGAAAATTATTAATTTCCATGAAATGTATTATAGTGAACAAACTGAAAGAATCTCATTCCAATCTTCAAGTGCCAACTGTACAACCCCCCACCCCAAATTCTTGCATCTCTCACTCCCCCCACTCCTATCCCACAAGACTGGGACCACAGAACTATCTTCCTTCAGCCCTTACCTTGTCAGACAAAAGCACAAGTTCAATAAGGGGGAGGGGAGATGTCTTCTGCAGGATCTAAATAAAATTATTTTAAGGTGACAATTGCATTAAAGTAAAATTCTCTCAGCATTACTAAGTACAAACACTAACAGTTCCATCCTGGCACAGAGATCTCTGCCCTTCGAGGCTTTGGCAGACAAAAGCTGTAGCAGACCAAACCACGATGGCTCTGTACAGCAGGATTTGTTGCTACAGCAAGTGCAACAAGAGTACGCAAATCCTCTTTAGGAAATCATCTGGAACTGAATGGAGAATTGTTGGAATAGTGTGTAGGCCACATTTACATTATTCATGAGACAGTCTCCCCTCATTTCAATTTACATCCAAAACACTGGCACAGAGCTTGCTCGAGTCACTGTCAGTAACAGAGCTTTTAAATGTGAGGAACTAAACAGAGAGAGAACACACAATTAATGTTATGCATCGAGCATGCAAGTATCTTTGCTTCCATTTTTACTTCTTAAGGATTGTCAAATTTTAAGATACTTGGCTATATTTTGAGGAAATAAGAAAATATCTGCACTGAGTATTAGAATATTCAGTATAAGGTTTTGCATGCAGTAAAAAATAAATAAATAAATAAAGCAGTAATGTTTCAGATACCAGAAACAGTTCAAGCCTGCTCTCAACACAAGTGTATTCTCCCGTCTTGGCCCACATTCCAATGACTGGACATTGACACATGGATAAATATGTCTCCTACAGACAAAAGTGCTACCAACATTGAAGGGAAGTGTCAGCCACTTCCTCGAGCTAAAACTGAGCAGTAAGTACTAGTAAGTATGAATCTTATTGTAAAATAAAGGCCCCTTGCCCTCAGCTCATAACTGGGACAATGTTTAGGTGGACATTCACCCAACTAGCATGTGGGTCCATAAGTCCAAGCTGTTGGAGGAGAATGAAGTCCAAACTCCATGGCAAACATAAATAGAGTCACCACATATTTAAGGAGCAAAAGGGAGCACTATTAATAATTGCTCTAGGACAACAGACATTAACCAGGACTGTCCCAGCAAGCCAGGATGGATGGTCACCCTACCTAAAGAGATAGTTACCAGAGGGATGTTCAGTATCAAGTTGACAAGTAATGACTAATCTGGAGATTACCTATCAATTTTAGGAATTCTTTTTTTTCATTAATATGTTATTGTCTTTTTATTTTTAGAGAGAATCAAAGTAAAAGAAGAGTAAAACTATATTTATTAAATTTTGTTATATAATTCACTAATTTTCTTTGTTCAGCACTCAATGCTAAAAAAAGTCTTGAGAAAAACAGGAAATAGAGGGCAAGATGTTTTGTCAGTAAATTTCATACCTTGGAAGACTGACCTATGATCATCAGTTTTCTGCAAATGGTATAAATGTAAATGGTACCTAGATGAAGAAAAAGACTGTTAACATGTTTTACAGTTAAATAATGGAAATTTTATATTCCAATTTCTGTAGTTTAAATCTATAGTTCCTAAAACAAGTGAAGTTATGAGAAAGTCTGGTAATGGTTAGAGTTATAATCATTACAATTTCTTTTGTAACTTGCAGCCAAATCATTAAAAGAACTAATTTGACCATATTTTAAGTAAGTTGACATAGGAATCTTTTATCCTCATTTGAAAGGCAGCATAAGTTTTGAAATATATTGAAAAAAGAATATTTAAGTAGTATAATTTATGCACCCTGTGGTTTTTATTAACTTATATAAAATGCTCTTGGTGCCCATGGTTTCTTTATGACTGAAAAACTAAAGATTAATGTCCAAATAAGATTAGGATACATATTTCATCAAAATGGCACAATACTTAACAAGGAAGCTCATGATAATTTAAAAATCAAAACATATAATAGTTCACATTTTATTTATTTGCAGTCTCATAATTATATTTACCCCTTTATTAAGGTATGTCCTATAAGCACTCTAGTGAAAAACAGCATTTCCAACTCCTATTTAAGACCATTCAAGTATGATTTTTTTTTTTTGGTCAGGCCATTAATTAAATGAAAACAGAAGGCTAGAAAACTGGCAGAGCTGGGGCAGGGGTGGGGAACAGCATCACCAGACATCTCTCTATATGCAAAGGACATTATCGTGCTATAAACATACCCCAAAGATGGTAACGTGCCTTAAAAAGCATGTAATTATAATGACAAGTAGTCTAAATATTTTCTATAAAATATCTGATCTAAAATTCAGAACCAACCAAATTCAACAATTACGAATCCATATTCACACTTAAACTTTAAAAGCCTCTGAGAAAACAGCATCTGCTCCAAAACACACATCACTTGATTAAAATACACTTGTAAGCACAGCATAATAAACATTAATTACATAAGTCAGTGACAAAAAATACTGAATAAACTTTTAAACACTTGCAGCACCATAAACTTTATGGAGAATGCACTAGGTCCTTAACATTCAAGGACTCAGCCTTCTTAGTGTGACTGCCCCGGGACATGGGATTAGTTATTTCACATAAAATTCACTAAGAAAGAAACCACTTGGCTACTAACAGCTCAAGCCCAGCATTCTTATCTCAACTTGGCTTTGTTGACCTCTGATCTTAATCTTTAACAATGAAATTGTCTGACTGTGTTTCTTTATCTTAAAAGTCACCAAGTAAGGATACCCACAGCCAACTCACGCCTCCCCGCAGAACATGTGATTCAGGTGTAAGCCAGGAGCCTGTATTAAACATGTCAGTAACAGGAACTGGAGAATTTCAGAAGACCTCAGGAGACTGCCCTCAAGAATGACAAGGGCCCTCTGTATTTTAAAATGAGATTTTAACCTTTCCAGACCTAGTATGTCCTGACTATAACTGAATCCTTCTCTGATGGTTCAGGATCTTGGCACGGCCCACAAATTCCCACTGCAGAAGGCTGACAGAGAGAGTAAATGACATGAAATGGAACACAAGTTGAATCTTTACAATCTCGGGATATCTCTGGAAGTCTGTTTTATTTTTAACCAAATCCCTAATACGAGTTTATTGCCTTGTCATGTGACTCCTTTTCATCAAAGATGGCCACCACCAAAATAATCCAGCTATGTGAGGGTTGAATGAGTTGGGTTCAGGTTGGTTGTGAAATAAGGTATTATGTAATAGTCATACACCCAGTTAGAGTTTGTGAAAGAACCAAAACTGGTTAACTATCTTAAGAAACCAAGAGAGTGTATTTATAATAGTCAATTAAAAATAAAGAGAATCAGTATTAACGTCTAACAGAAAAGGTGAAATGCTTTTTGATAAATTGACTGTAGGTCAATTTATTTTTCATTACTCAAACGCCAAACTTTAAAAACTACAAGGTGTTTGCATTTGTTAATCCCCCAGTCGGAATGCCCTCCCCCAAAATATCCAGATGTCTCAGTCAGGTGTTTACTCAAGTGTCATCTCAGTGAGGCCTTCCCTGACCATTCTGTTTAAAATAGCAGCTCAGCCCCAGCCCAGCCTCGGCTCTCCCTATCCCCTTCTTAGCTTTATTTTTCTCCATAGTACTCATCGCTATCTGACACACCATTTAATTTTTGTTTATTTATCATCTCCCTGAAGCATTATGTAAGCATGAGAACAGAGTTTTTGTCTGTTGTCTACTCCTGTGTCCCTAGCACTTAGAACAATGTCTGGCACTTGATAACTTTGAGATGACTTCATTAAAACAGGGGCAGTAATTAGCAAAACTAAGTATATGCATCTTGCACAACCCAGCAATCCTACTCCTGGACATAAATCCCAGAAAACTCTAACACAGAATTATAAAAGGACATGCATAAGAATGTTCATCACAGAATCATTTGTGCAATTGTAGAGGTAGGGCAAACCAGGTGCCCATCTCGAGGGGTGTATGGATATCTGGAATACAATTCAACAGGCAGAATTAACGAATTAGATTTATATAGGAACCTCGTTCTGTTCTAAAACCATAGTATTGAGTAAAAAAATACTTAGGAAACAGAATAAAATCCAGAGCATAACTATATGTATAAAAAAGCACACACCAAATAAAGGTATATAGAAGATACAGAAATTGGTGTTTTGTTTTGTTTTTAGAATATTGGGATTTTTTGCATGTGATCTTAAATAGACCACAGACAGGGAATTATTCCACCTCTCAAGCAAGGCCCAACTGCAGGCCCCAACTCTCAGGCCTACCACTGCTTCCTGAGCACAGAACCTCTGGTCCTGCTCAGTCCCTGCCAAGATATGTGAGCAACTCAGGGGGAAGGACGGCAATGGCTACTCAGGGAATCACAGATCTTCTTGAGGATGATCAGGCGAAAAAGTTTAATAGTCACTGGACTGAAAATTTCTTCCAAAATCAGGCTCATCTGAGGCAGCAAATGTAAGGTCCAATTTCAATCAAAATGTCAAAAAAAATTACTTGGGGAGGAGGAGGAGGGAAAAGGCTAGGAAATGTACTTTCAGTTGCCGTGGATGAGGGAAAATCCAATACGTTTTCTTTCAAGTTATTTTGTCCTGCTCTTACACACATAGAACACGCTGTCATTTTCCTTTTAAGAAATTATCCAGAGATCAATATAGTAGGTGACTATAACTTTAAAAAGAATTTAAATTGAATTTAAGTTGTAACTCCTTAAAGAGAAAAGCTGATGCTGTATTTTGATAAATATGATTCATTTCACAAGACAAATATAATGCATATATGTATATGTGTATCTATACAATGTGGATATGTATATAAATACACTATACACACATACATACACATACATTCTCAAAGCTCCTCACTCAAAAGCAAGTAGGAGGAGAAGGTTGACAGGTAGAAAGCAATAGTCACTGGACAAAATGTTTGAGGAAAGGACCAATAAATGGATGATGCTTAGAACCAATCTAACCTGCAGCAGTCCTTTGATCCTTTTCCACCTATTTTTGCTTATTAACCATGGCCCCTACTTCTTCATACTTGAAACTGACTATACCCACAGGCTCTGACCCTTCCTTGAAGCAGGAAGCCCAAAGACATGCTTTTCCTGCTTATGAGGACAAACAAAAATATAAAAAAGACAAAAACAAAATCCCCATAATCATCCTATTATGAAATGAATGGGGTTTTTTAAAAGAAATTATTTATTTATATTTGAAGAAATTTTTTAGAATTTGGATATGTAATTTGGTTTTTTTTTTATTTTTATTTACATTCTAGTTAGTTAACATACAGCGTAATACTAGTTTCAGGAGTAGAATTTAGTGATTCATCACTTACATGTAACACCCAGTGCTCAACACAAGTGCCCTCCTTAATACCCATCACCCATTTAGCCAAGATAATCAATCAAATTATGATCAAACTTGGCATTTAAATAACCTCCTGAAAGTCATGATGAGAAATAGAAGACATTGGCACATACCATTAAAGATAATCCAGCAAAGGTGTTCCTGTGGCAAAGCCACCTGCATGATAAGTCTTAAGGAGGACAAAATATGCAGACACTGGCTCACAGAGTCTTTATTCTTCAGGTTCACATCATTGTCACAGACCAGCTCATACCTGCAAATATTTTTGCCACTTAAAGCGTGAAACTGAAACATAGGGAAAATATAAATAAGAATATAAATAAGGTTCATGCAACCTAGAAAAGCATTTCTTAAAATGTGAAAAAATAAAATAAAAATGATTCTGCTTAAATAGATTATATAGTGCTATAGACTGAATGTGTGTCCCCCACCAACTGTATATATTGAAACCTAACCCCTAGTGTGACGGTATTGGATGTGAGGTCTTTAGGAAGAGATTGTCACCAAGGTGGAGCTTTCATGAAAGAGATTAGTGCCCTCATAAAAGAGAACCCCAAAGAGCTCCCTACTGCCTTCTACCATGTTAGGACACAGAGAGAGGAGAGCCATCTATAAACCAGGAAGTGGGCCCTCACCAGACACCAAACCTTCTAGCACCTTAACCTTGTGGTTCCCAGCCTCCGGAACTGAGAGAAATAAGTGTTATTTAGACCGTCCAGTCTATGGATTTTTGTTATAACAGCCCTCAAGGACATAGGGAAAGAAATGTGGTAAAATAGGTTTCTTCAGAGCATCCATTTAGTTAGGCTTACTTGTCCTTAGTCATAAAAATTTCAAAAGCCAAAAAAGGTACAAATTCTATTTCCAACAATATAGAACTGAATCACATCTTGTAAACCCTCCTCGTAGTATTTTAACTTCTTAATCTGGATGCAATTATTACCATTTACATAATTCACTCAGTAAATGTTTGTTGTACACCTCTATTTGTCACACTCTGCTAAGCAATAGGGACTCAAGGATGAAGAAGATGTGGTCCCTGCTCTTGGACAGAAGGAAAAGCATTCCAGGCACAGGCAATGTTAGGAATGCTTAAAGTGGTTGCTGTGGTCACTGAATTGAAAGTCCTTTATAAGTTTGGATAAAAAGGCTTAAAATAAAGAGATTAGGGGTGCCTGGCTGGCTCAGTTGGAAGAGCATTCAACTATTGATCTTGGAGTCATGAGTTCCAGCCCCATGTTAGGTGTAGAAATTACTACAAAAAATCAGCTTTGGGGCTCCCAGCTGGCTCAGTTGGTGGAGCATGCCACTCTTAATCTCAGGGTCATCGAGTTTGAGCCCCACGTTGGTGTAGAGATTACTTAAAAATAAAATCTTTAAAAAGAGAGAGAGAGATTAGGCTATTAAGGTGGTACATGGTCAGAACATGGAGTGCATTCCACATCATTCCAAGGACTATGGACTTTAGCCAAAGGAGAAAGTCAAAGGGCAGTGGAATAAAATGATTTGATTTATAATTCAGAAGTTTAGAAGTTAATTCTGACAAAAGTGTGGAAGATGAAAAGCAGAGGATGGGCACAAAGCTACAAGCAGGGAAACTAGGAGAGATCAAAGGCCTTTGAGGTAGTCCAGAGATACCAGGGTCCTGAAATGGGTGCTGGAATCAGGGAGGAAGAGGAAGAAAAGTTTTTTTTTTAATATTTATTTATTTGAGAGAGCAAGAGAGAACATGAGCACATGTGTGCATGCTCAAGGGGCACCTGGGTGGCTCAGTCGTTACGCGTCTGCCTTCGGCTCAGGTCATGATCCCAGGGCCCTGGGATCAAGCCCCACGTCAGGCTCCTTGCTCAGCAGGGAGCCTGCTTTTCCCTCTCCTCCTGGCTTGTACTCTCTCACTATCTCTCCTTCTCTCTCTCTTAAATAAAATCTTTAAAAAAAAAAATGGGGTGGGGGAGGGGCAGAGGGAGAGGAAGAATCCTAAGCAGACCCCACACTGAGTGCAGAGCCTGACGTGGAGCTCAATCCCAGGACTGGCGACCATAACCCTAGCTGAAGCCAAGAGTCAGATGCCCAACCAACTTCGCCATGCAGGCACACCGCAAAAGGAAAAACTTAAGTTTTGTCTGATTCAATGGGATTTATAATTTTTTTAAATATTTTATTGATTTATTTGAGAGAGAGAAAGTGAGCGAGAGAGAGAGAGAGAGAGCATGAGTCGGGGAAGGGGCAGAGGGAGAATCAGACTCCCTGCTGAGTAGGGATGTGGGGCTCGATTCCAGGACCTGGGGATCACGACCTGAGCAGAAGGCAGACACTTAACTGACTGAGTGACCCAGGTGCCCCCCGAGTCCATGGGATTTAGATGTGGGAGGTAAGAGAGAGAAAGCGGTCTAGAGGAGTTGGGTGAGTAGTTGGTGCCAATTATGGAGGAAAGGGAATGAGTTCAGTTTAGGATATGTGGAGTGTGAGATGGTCGTGACATAAATCTCAGAAGAGAGATTTTGGCTAGAGAATCATCACTACTGCTAAAGCTGTGGGAGTGCACACACAATAGCACAAATGGGCCTTCCTCTACCACATGAGATTTCCCACTGGGATACATGTATACTATTTCTAGCATCATATTTTTTTAGTGTCCGGCCCTATTCTGTCTTTTATTATCTCAGCAATCCTAAAACAATCCTTTGAGGTAAGTCTTATCATTCTTTCGGTTTTACAGATGAGGAAACTGAGACACAAAGAAACTACATAACTTCTCCGGGGTCCCATCATGAGGAAGTGGTGCAGCAGCTCTTTGCACCCAGGCAGGCTGGCTCTAGAGACCAGATTCTTACCAACTCTGCCACAATGCCTCCCTACAGTCCATACAAGGGGGATCATGAAATAACATGAGTATCTTTGCATACAAATATTTTGACAGTAAATTCTACATTACTGCTTCATCTATGATTTTTATGCATTTAACTCCAAAATCTATTTCTCTAACAAAACTTCTCAAGACCTCTAAGGTCTTCATTGTCCAGTTCCTACTGGACTACATTTTCAATCCATTCATTCTCTTACTCACTTATTTTATAGATATTTATTGAGAAACACAGTGTGCCAGAACCTCAAACTTAGCATGTAAAAAACCAAATTCTTCATAGTTTTTCATGCCCTTCACAACAGTCCTGCTGCCATACCCTTACATTGGCTTCATTGCTTTACCATCTGCCTCTAGTCTTTGTCCTTCTAATCTATTCAGTGTAGTGCTTCTAGATTAATAATTCTGACTATATCACTTTTTTTTTTTTAAGATTTTATTTATTTATTTGAGAGAGAGAATGAGAGAGAGAGAGTGCACATGAGAGGAGGGAGGGTCAGAGGGAGAAGCAGACTCCCCGCTGAGGAGGGAGCCCGATGCGGGACTTGATCCCGGGACTCCAGGATCATGACCTGAGCCGAAGGCAGTCGCTTAACCAACTGAGCCACCCAGGCGCCCTGACTATATCACTTAATTTATTCATTCACTTAGTAAAGCTTTATTGACCATCTATTACACACTATTATATCTATTACATGATTATTGTGACACAATCTCCAAAACATCTTTACAAAGTTTAATAAGTGCACTTTCTTATCCATCACTGAAAACATTTATTAAGCAACTTACAGCACACAAGCAAATGCCATGCTAAGCAAATGAAAGACATTTAGAAGCTGTCAACTAAAGAATACATTGCATGGCTAATCATAAATTGCAGCTAAAATAGCTACTGCTTTCATCTTACTGTATGTGCTGCAGTTTTGTCTCCAACGCCTTTTGGGAAAAAGGCAGTTCTGAATTGATTCACTGTTCTAGGCACTAGAGTTAGAGATTAGAGCAGCACCTGTCCTCATGAAGCTCATATTCTAGAAGGGGAGACAGGCAATAAAAACATAAGCAAATAAACATGTATCTGATGATAATAAGTAATATAAAAAAAATAAAGCATGAAGTGTAAGAGACCTGAAGGAAGAGATGGATGATCCACACAGCTATCTAGGATACGAGCTTTCTAGAAGGAGCTCACCAGTGCACTGGTACTAAGCCAGAGAGGCTGGGTGGAAGCAGAATCACACAACAGTACAAGAAAAAAAGATAGGGCCGTGGACCAGGGTGGCACAGGAGGGGATTTAAAAGTCTAAACTCCTAAGCTTTTCATTCAGTACTCTTCCCAGTGGGATGCCAATTTATATTACCTGGTATTCTTATTCACGTACTTATGGTACAGCCAAATTGAACTGCTTAATGTGCCCCAAACACGCCTTGTGATTTTCTGCTAGTAAACTGTATGTTGTTTCCAAAGCCTTGAATAATCACCAAGTTTGGAATAACATAGCTTTGGAATCAGACTGATTCGGGTTCAAACACCAACTCTGCCCATTGCTTTCTTTTTTTTTTTTTTTTTTTTTTAAGATTTTATTTATTTATTTGACAGAGAGAGACACAGCGAGAGCAGGAACACAAGCAGGGGGAGTGGGAGAGGGAGAAGCAGGCTTCCCGCGGAGCAGGGAGCCCTTATGTGGGGCTCGATCCCAGGACCCTGGGACCATGACCTGAGCCAAAGGCAGACGCTTAACAACTGAGCCACCCAGGTGCCCCCATTGCTTTATTTCTTAGTCTCTGTTTCCTCATCTGTAAAAGAGGCATTACAGTACCCACCTTCTAGGACTGTAATCAAGCTATAAGAAGAAAATTCATATAATGCATACGGAAGAGTATAGCACCTGGTAACCCCTCGTCCAGTGAATCAATGGTAGCAATTAACATAAAAATAACACTGGTATATTAGAAATAAAGCATCACATTTTTTGTATTAAAAGATCTATGTTTGGGCGCCTGGGTGGCTCAGTTGTTAAGCATCTGCCTTCAGCTCAGGTCGTGATCCTGGAGTCCTGGGATCGAGCCCCGCATCGGGCTCTCTGCTCTGCGGGAAGCCTGCTTCTCCCCTTCCCACTCCCCCTGCTTGTGTTCCCTCTCTCGCTGTGTCTCTCTCTGTCAAATAAATAAAATCTTTAAAAAAAAAAAAGATCTATGTTTGATCACCTGAGACACTAGTTAACTAACTGTGCCGTTAGCTTTCTCTCTCTCTTTTGTAAAATAAGGGTAATAATAGTTTCTAATTCATAAAGTTATTGAGGATCAATACGTTTTCCAAAGCACTTTGTAAACTAAAAGCACTCTACAAATATTAGTTATTATAATAATAATAACCGTCTGCTAGAAGAATGAGTGATTATTGTGACACAATCTCCAAAACATCTTTACAAAGTTTAATAAGTGCACTTTCTTACCCATCACTGAAAACATTTATTAAGCAACTTATAGCACACAAGCAAATGCCATGCTAAGCAAATGAAAGACATTTAGAAGCTGTCAACTAAAGAATACATTGCATGGCTAATCATAAATTGCAGCTAAAATAGCTACTGCTTTCATCTTACTGTATGTGCTGCAGTTTTGTCTCCAACGCCTTTTGGGAAAAAGGCAGTTTTGAACTGATTCACGTCTGCTTTATTCTCATCAAAGTTGATAGTGAACTGCTGAAGATACCTTCCATAGCACTGTAAAAGCGCCAATTTATATTCCTGAAATAAAAAAAGGAATTGATGAAAGTTTCAAAGTATCATTTTGCTTATCATTATTAAAATCCAGTAATAATCAAATTATTCTTAATAGTATCAATGTCGATTATTACTGTAACACTCTTTTACTACCACCATTACATTATTACTACCATTACCACTAGCATTTCTGAACACATATTGTGTGACAGACACCGCACTGGGCGCTTCATGTGCATTACTGCATTAATTCTCCTCCCAACAAGCCTATTGTGAGATGAGACCATCACGATCTCAAAGATGAGAATATTCACCAGGGTGTGAATAATGATGACATAATAATGAGAATATTCACCAGGGTGTGTGTGGTAATACCTATATATACTCAAAATCCAAAAAATTCATCATCACCATGTCATGGTAATCCACCTACTCAGAGAGGCAGATGAGTTGCATAACTAGCCTTGCTTCTCTGATACCTCCTCTATGTTCCAAAAAAGAGAGAAAGGCGGGGTAGGGGAGGGAGGAAGGGTGGGAGGCAGGGAGGGAGAAGAGAAAAGGAGGGAGAAAAGGAGGAAGGAGGGAGAGAGAGAAAGAAGAAAGAAGGCAGGAGGGGAGAGGAGAGGAAAGGCTCTCTCTCTCTCCTCTGTCAACAGTCTCTGAAGCTGCATCAGGACAAATTAAAAAAGCCCGAGCTATTGTTGTTAGGATTCCTGTTAGTCCTAATTCATGCTTATGTTTCCATTACAAAATCAGGGCTCATTTCAGCAGTGCACAGGGCACAGCTGACCTGGAGTTTCAGGGCAGGGGAGGTGAGCAGGGCTGTGGATTCCAGTCAACTGCACCCCTTCGTCAGTTTCCTCCCCTACAACCGTCTCCAGGGAAAGCAACTACTCTAGGTGTCTCCTGCCTATAGGGTTACCTAGGCCCTTGGAAGGCATCCACAGTCAAACCTTTGTTTCTATTTCTACTGACTTGTTTGTTACTTTTCACTAGTTGGTTCTGAATCTTTTCTTTTCTAACTTGGTTCATATGATAAACTCAAATCTAGGTTCAAAATAAGACTATTCCAACAAAATGATCTTTGCTAGAATTAAAACTAAAGAGATTCTAGAACCAAAGGAACAACTCAAGTTCATTTTCAGGAGTCTAAATACCTTTATCAGCCCACTTTCTCATCAGTGAAAAGTAGATTAAAAATATTTTCTTTGTTCCTTTAAGTAAATTTTTAAAATATCCTATCTGGGCCTTTCTATCTGAAATATTCTAAATCTTTAGCTACTACCCAGCTTGAACTTGCTTTATCAACTTCTAACATGCTCTTCCCTCCTCCCTCCACCAATATCTGCTCCACCCACCTGAATACTCCACAAACAACACCAAACTGTGCTGTGTATCACCAGCCTCTTATATTGAGGAGAAACATAAAAACAGGGGACACTCTTCTAATGCTTGTCAAAACAGTTATTCCACTTCACATGAATATAGATCACAAGTTGGATCTTGTCCATCAGTTTTTTTGTTTTCTGTAGTTTTCCTATAGAGAAGTTTTTTTCTCTATAGTTTTTCTTTATTTTTAGGTTTCTAAGAACTACGGTCCAATTACATGAAGCTAAGCTGATGCTCTAATTTTGGCAGCAGACAATAGATCATCCTCATTTGAAATTTCCTCCACATCTCACCCTCCATTTGGTAGATTTCCCCCTCAAACCACCCCCCAAGAAAATAAAACAAAAATAAATTCAAGTCCAGAAAATAGAAATGGAGAAGGAAAATGAAGCTGAAAAACTGAAGATCAAGAAAACATTGAAAATGGCCTAAAAACCCTTTGGATAAAAAAAACTTTCAGTCCAAAGATTCTAGATGTGTCAAACATTCATATTTAACTTGGAATAATTTGGGCCTATGCCAGAGCTTAAGGGAAAAACTTACATTACTGTTAACTGAAAACCCAGCTATGGTGTGGTCTTACTGAACCAAGTCAAGTCCACAGCAATCCAAGACCTGGGCACTAATAGGAACTAGAAATCGGGCACAAGCTCAGTTTGGACTACAATACTAAGCAAGAAACAGGGCATGTAAGGAATGACTGCTATAATTACATATGGCAAAACATTAAGGAGTTGAAAGTCATTAAAACAGGGCACTGGGAACCAGACAACATAGCAGCAAGGCCAGGAACCCATGAAAGTTGTCACTGGGCAAGGTCAGCCATGTGAAAAACAACAGGAAGTGGTGTCTGGGCTCCTTTGTATGAGGTAGGAACATGATGACTCAGCATTTCCTGTTGGGCACCTACCACACCCTCTATTAACTAGGGGCTGTGAGCCTGCCCAACCCCAGCCGGTTGTCTTTCCGTTCAGGAATCTCTCACCTCTAGAGAATCTCAACTACAAAATTAAAAAACACTTTTTTGGTTATGGTGCCTCATTAAAATTTGTAGCATTCATTCATATTTTTCTAAGAAAAAAATCAAATCATGTAAAATAAGAATGGTATCAAACCAAATAATAATAATTAGCCAAGTCAGCTTCATGTAGGCCCTTTTTACTCCAGAGGCACTTACTTTCATTTCACAAAGGCTATCGCCAACCTTCAGAAGCTTTTCATTGTAATAGGCAGCTGGCAGCCGGGGGGCATATTTGGTCCAGATATTAAACAAAGAGGTGGCACTGTAAAAATCATAAAATAAAATTATATCTTCAAAGTTAGCAAGAAGCCTCAATCAATTAGCAAACAATCCTTAAAAACTTACTTTGTGCTCTTTCCAATGTGCCTTACTGTCAACATCTAATTACTACTAAATACTATTAAAATTATTGTTTCCTTTATGCCAAACACTGATCGAAGCTCTTTTTTTTTTTTTAAGATTTTATTTATTCATTTGAGAGAGAAAGTGAGCAAGAGAACACAAGCAGGAGGAGGGGCAGAGGGAGAGGGAAAAGCAGACTCCCCGCCCTGAGCAGGGAGCCCTGCTCCATCTCAGGACCCAGGGATCATGACCTGAGCCGAAGGCAGGTGCTTAACTGATTAAGCTACCCAGGCGCCCCTGATCAAAGTTCCTTATATTCATTTTTTAAAACAGATTTTACTTTTTAGAGTAGTTTTAGGTTCACAGAAAAATTGAGCAAAAGGTATGGAGATTCCCCATATACTGCATGCCCCACACAAATGCACAGCCTTTCCCCCACCCCCTTATCAACATCCCCCACCAGAGTGGTATATTTGTTACAACTCATGAACCTACATTGACACATCATTATCACCCAGTATCTACAGTTTATTTTAGGGTTTACTCTTAATGTTATACATCCTATGGCTCTGGAAAAATGTATAATGATGGGAACCCATCATTATGCTATCACACAGAGTAGTTTCACTGCCCTAAAAATCTGTGCTCTGCCTATGTATCCCTCTCTCCCTTAACCCCAGGCAACCACTGATCTTTTTATTATCCCCATAGTTTTTGCCTTTTTCAAAATGCCATGTAGTTGGAACATACAGCATGTAGCCTTTTCAGACTGGCTTCTTTCACTTAGTAATATGCATTTAACATTTCTCCGTGTTTTTTCATGGCTTGATAACTCCTTTCCTTTTAATGCTTAATAATATTCCCTTGCCTACATGTACCACATTTTATTTATCCCTTCACTTAGTGAAGGGTATCTTGTTTGCTTTCAAGTTGTGGCAACTGGAGTAAAGCCGCTATCAACATCCATGTGCAGATTTTTGTATGGACATAAGTTTTCCACTCCTTTGGGTAAATACCAAAAAGTATGATTACTGGATTGTATGGTAAGAGTATGCTTAGTTGGGAGGCCTAGGTGGCTCAGTCAATTAAGCATCTGCCTTAGTTCAGGTCATGATCCTGGGGTCCTGAGATTGAGGCCCACATCGGGGCTCCCTACTCAGCAGGGAGCCTGCTTCTCCCTCTGCCTGCTGCTCGCCCTGCCTGTGCACTCTCTCTCTCTCTCTCTCTCTGACAAATAAATAAATAAAATCTTTTAAAAAAAAAATAAAACTCTTTAAAAAAAAAAAAAGAGTATGCTTAGTTTTGTAAGAAACCACCAAACTGTCTTCCAAAGTGGTTGTACCAGTTTGCATCCCACCAGCAATGAATGAGGAGTCCCTGTTGCTCCACATCCTCCCTTCATTTGGTGATGTCAGTGCTCTGGATTTGGGCCATTCCAATAGGTGTGTAATGGTATCTCATTGTTTTAATTTTCATCTTCCTAATGATATATGTTGGGGAGCATCTTTTCATATGTTTATTTGCCACTTGTATTATCTTCTTTGATGAGATGTCTGTTAAAGTCTTTGACCCATTTTTTTAAATCAGGTCGTTTGTTTTCTTACTGTTGAAAGAGTTCTTTGTATATTTTGGGTGACGGTCCTTTATCAGATATGTCTTTGGCAAATATTTTCTCCCAGCCTGTGGCTTGTCTTTTCATTTTCTTGATGGTGTCTTTCACAAAGCAGAGACTTTTAATTTTAATGAAGTCTGGCTCATCAATTCTTTTCTCCTGGACTGTGGCTTTGGTGTCATATCAAAAAAGTCATTGTCAAACCCAAAGTCATCTAGATTTCTCCTATGTTATCTTTTAGGAGTTCCATAGAATTTTACATTTAGGTTTGCAATCCATTTTGAGTTAATTTTTGTGAAGGGTGTAAGGTCTGTGCTGAGATTAATGTTTTGCCCGTGGATGTCCAGTTGTCCCAGCACCATTTCTTAAGAAGACTATCTTTGCTCCATTGTATTGCCTTTCTTCCTTTGTCAAAGATGAGTTGATTACATCGATGTGGGTCTATTTCTGGGCTCTCTGTTCGGTCCCAATGATGTGTTTGCTCATTCTTTCACTGATACCACACTGTCTTGATTACTGTAGCTTTAGAGGAAGTCTTGAAGTCAGTCTTCCAAATTTGTTCTCCTCCAATATTTGCGTTGGCTATTCTGGGTCTTACACCACATGCATTTTTGTTTTCATTTCATTTCCACAACAACCCTGAGATAGGTAGTATCAATATCCCAGGTGTATAGTTGACGACATGGAGGCTCAGTGCATCCATGATCTTAACTAGTGTATTACTGGGCCTGCCTGTCCTCTGGAATGTAAACTATCTGAGGGCAAGGACTTGGACTATGTTATTCATTGCCCAGCCTCAAGAGTAGTGAATATCTAGTATATACATGTTCTCAATAATTATTTGTTGAAAGAATGAATGAATACATAAATGACTAGGAAAAAAATTCCTTGTTCTTGTTTTATTTTTTCTATAAAGAGTTCAGGGATTTCAATATCCAGTCAGTCCATTAGGGTTCTGTTTCTTTCCACCAAGTAAACAAAAATAAAACATACAGTATTCTCAACATGGCTTCTAATTAGTTTCAAAGGGTAGCAGATCACTGCTTATTTTGTTCATTCATTTAGTTAACATTTACTCCTTCCCTCTCTCTCAGAAATTATAACTCCGAATTTCCCTTAACAGTTGTCCAAGCCTATTTCATAAATTTCTAGATGAGGACAGTGTTATGTACTGAATGAGTGTGTCCCCTTGAAATTCTTCTGTTGAAGTCCTAATCCACAGTGTGGCTGTATTTGGAAAAGGGTACTCTAAGGAAATAACTAAGGTTAAATGAGGTCATAAGGGTGGGGCCCTGGTCTGATGGCATTAATGCCCATCTAAGAAGAACACCAGAGAACTTTCTTTCTCTCTCTCTTTCTTTGTACTTGCTCAGGAGCAAGGCTATGTGAAGACCAAGTGGTCTTCTACAAGCCAGGAAGAGTGCTTTCACCAGAAACTGACCCTGCAAGACCTTGATCTGGGACTTCTAGTCTCCAGAACCGTGAGAAAATAAATTTGTGTTGTTTAAGCCACCCAGGCTATGGTGTTTTGTTATGGCAGCCCAAATTGACTAATTTATAATTACTAATTAGTAACTAATAGCCCAAATTGACTAATACAGGTAGGAATGTAAACTTAGGGACTGAAGATGGCTCTAATACTTATGATGTATATGTTGGGATATTATCAGAACAACAGCAACAGAAACATGTTGATTGATTCATTCAAATATTTTTTTAATTCATTCAAATAATTAAATGATATTTAGTTACAAGGGAGGGGTAGGGGACAGGATATTCTTGCCTTCTTTGACTGATGAGTAATATTTTAGGATATGAAAATATATACATGTACCAAGTAGTAAATAACCATACCCAAAAAATTGTGTGGGAAATACAGCCATAGAAATTTTAAAAGGAAGAGGTTTTTTGGTTTAGGTTTTTTTGTTTTGTTTTGTTTTTAACCTGTTCACTCTCATTTGCTGCTTTCATGAAATGTCACAGTATTAGAATAAATAATAGTGAATCCCAAAAAGTCAGCAAGTCTTGCTAGAATTCTTAAATTATGTAGACAAAAGACTTAATTCTTTCAAACCTTAAAGATGAGATAATGATGACTATGTTTATTACTCATAAAAGAAAAATACCAGCTTTGTTAAATCAATCAAGGTTATATAATGAGATAATTTTTTTTTAAGTGAACTTTAAGTTCAAGTTAAGACTGCTCACTGGAAATGACTTACATAATGATTAAACAAGGAAAATATAAAATACACTATATAATGTGCATCATTTAAGAAAACATTAATACCCTTTGGATTGCTGACTTATTATAGCCACTGCTGGATAGTTAGAATTCTCTAAAATAGAAAATCATAACTATATAAACAATATCTAAATCTCATGTGGTTATAACAAAAGCATACCTTTAAAAAATCTATCATATTCCAAATTTAATAACATTGCCAATATGATCAAACTCTATATTTTAGATCCTGTGAATTTTTATGCTTATGTAAATTCCTATAGTTACCAAAAAATTTTTTATTTTAAAAAATAACCATCTCTCAAATACGTTATAAAAGCAAATCCTACCTCCTGTATTCTTAACTGGACAACTCACATTGTCATTCTTACTCCACTTGGACAAGATTATATAAATATGTATATATAATATTAAATAAGGTTAATCCCTTGCCCAAAACTACCCAATGCTTTCCCACTGCTTTTGGAATAAAGGCAAACTGTATAAAAGGCCTCTAAAACCTTCCAGAGCCCTACCTATGTCTCTAATCTCACCTCATACCACTGCACCCACACTCACTAAGCCATGCTTAATGGGCTTCTGTACATTCCTCTCAAGTCTCTAGCTCTTTCCTGCCAAGATCTTCCCACACGCTTGTTCCCTCTGTTTATCCTCTCTCCTTGCCTGGTATCCTTCTAATCTCAGCTTAATGTCACCTCTCTCACCATTAGCTTGAAAGTAGGTACGTGCTATGTTCTCTTTAAGCCTCTGCTCAAGTGTCACCTATTCTGACCACATTACTGAAAATTGCAATCTCTTATCTCCCACTCCATAACCCTTCCTCTCTTTAGTCTTCTCCCTAGCATTTGTCATTTTCTAGGTTACCACAAAATGAATTTATTTAATATGTTTATTGCCTACCTTCTCCTCTAGAATACAAGCACCAAGAAGGCAGGGCTCTTTGTCTGATTCACTGGTGGATCCCCAACCCCTAGTACAATGCCTGGTACATGTAAGTGCTCAGTAGCTTCTTCCTTCATAGCACCTGTTGTTTGTATATTGACTTAATGACTCATTGAAAGCTTATCTCTCTCTCTCTCTCTAGACTATAAACTCCATGAGCACAGATTCCCTATCTATTTTGTTCACCACTATATAACCTATGGTTAGTGCAATGCTGGGCACACAGTAGGCATTCAATAAAAGTTGTTGTGTAAATAAATAAATACCTAAATTGTGTGAGAGGTTAGATTGCTAAGGTCTGTGTCAATCGTTAAGGTTTGTGATTCTCTTATAGTCTCTTTAAAGATGAAACAGATGGGGGCACCTGAGTGGCTCAGTCGTTAAGCGTCTGCCTTCGGCTCAGGTCATAATCCCGGCATCCTGGGATTGAGCCCCACATCGGGCTCCCTGCTCCACAGGAAGCCTGCTTCTCCCTCCCTCTCCCACTCCCCCTGCTTGTGTTCCCTCTCTCGCTGTGTCTCTCTGTCAAATAAATAAATAAAATCTTTAAAAAAAAAAAAAGATACTCTACTTACAAACTGGCCCAGGTCTACCTTCCCATATATAACATTAACAATTATTGAAAATACAAGGATAATAATCCTTGAATTCTTTCAATACCAAATACTCAATGACAGTTTGCTCTGGGGCACCTGGGTGGCTCAGTCAGTTAAGCGGCTGCCTTCGGCTCAGGTCATGATCTCAGGATCCTGGGATCGAGCCCCACATCGGGCTCCCTGCTCAGCAGGGAGTCTGCTTCTCCCTCTCTCTCTCTGCCTCCTCCCCCTCCCCCGCTCATGCTTTCCCTCTCTCAAATAAAGAAATAAGAATCTTCAAAAAAAGAAAGGAAGGAAGAAAGTTCGCTCTATCCCAACCACCAGGCTAGTTGCTAGAGGTAGAAAAATGAAAAAGAGACACGTTATCCAAAGTCAGCAGGGACTTCCACTCTAATGGGGGAAACAGATAATACACAAGAAAACAAGTAAATAAAAAATATAAATGGGTGGCTGAACCTGCATTTAAATAGGAAAGGCCACACTACAGTGGTAAGAACTGAGCTAAGACCTGAAAGAAAAGAAGGAGCCAGCTATTTGAAAAACTGAGGATACAACATTTCAGACAAAGGTGGCAGCAAATATAAAGGCCCTGGGATGAAAAAATAGGATCTGTCTCCCTGGAAAGTCCTGAGAGAGAAGTGAGGGATGGGCTGAGATGGAAGAGGCAAGCAGGGCCAGATGCTCAGACCCTGGAGCACAGAAGGAGTCTTAAATTTGTTCTAACAGCAATGGGAAGCGATAGAAAGTCTTGAGATAGGAGAGTGGGTGGTTGATTTATAAAGGTTACCCTTACTGCTAAAGTGAAGGATAGATTTGAGACTCCAGAGGCTGTGGGGAAAAGCACAGTCTGGTGGTTTGAACTACAGCGCTGGTCGTGGAAATGGGAAGATAAAGTGCTATCTAAGGCACAAGTGCAGAAATGTTTTAAATATAAATATATATAGCTTAGTACTGCACTTTCCTTGGTCAATTCTTGGTTCTCATCTTACTTGGCCCATCAGCAGGATTTGCCACTGTTAATAGATCATTCCTTCCTACTTTGAAACGGTTTCTCTACCTGACTTCCAGCACACCACACACTTACTGGTTTTCATCCTACCACCCTGGCCACTCCTTCTTAGTCTCTGCCACTTTCTTATCAACTCTACATCTACACTTACTCCCTTAGCTATTAAGTCAAGTGTCATGATTTAAATATCAATAATATGGGGGCACCTAGGGTGGCTCAGTCGTTAAGCGTCTGCCTTCAGCTCAGGTCATGATCCCAGGGTCCTGGGATCGAGACCCGTGTCAGGTTCCCTGCTCGGCGGGAAGCCTGCTTCTCCCTCTCCCACTCCCCCTGCTTGTGTTCCCTCTCTTGCTGTGTCTCTCTCTGTCAAATAAATTAAAAATAAATAAATAAATATCAATAATATACTGACGAATCCCAAATGCATATCTCTTTTGACCTCCAGACTCAAATGACCAACTACCTTTGTAATAGCTCTGCTAGGATGTTGAATTACATTTCAGTCTTCGTATATCTAAAACTAAATTCTTGGGATGCCTGGCTGGTTCAGTGGGTGGAGCATTTGAGTCTTGATCCCGGGATTGTGGGTTCGATCCCCACATTGGGTGTAGAGATTACTTAAAAATAAAAAATATATATTTCACAAAAAGAAAACTAAACTCTTGGGCGCCTGGGTGGCTCAGTTGGTTAAGCGACTGCCTTCGGCTCAGGTCATGATCCTGGAGTCCCGGGATCGAGTCCCACATCGGGCTCCCTGCTCAGCAGGGAGTCTGCTTCTCCCTCTGACCCTCTTCCCTCTCGTGCTCTCTATCTCTCATTCTCTCTCTCTCAAATAAATAAATAAAATCTTTAAAAAAAAAAAAAGTAAACTCTTGATCTGCCTCTCTCCTACCAGAAACCTGTTCTTCCCACAGTCTCAATCCCATCCCGGGAACCTCACACTTGCCATTCTCCCTTGTGGCCAACTCTTCCTACAGAAATCTTCGTCACTTGCTATTATATTTCTTTCTCATCTTTCTCAAAGGCTACTTTTCCCGACTTAATCTGACCATGCTCCCAGACACCCCCATTTTAAATTTCAACACCATACCGTATCTTCTATCCCCACACTCTGCTCTAATTTTCTCCCTAGCACTTCTTTCCCTGTAAAATGATTTCTTGACTTGTTTAGTAGCTGTCTGTAGTAACAAAAAATATATGCTCCATGAGGGTACAAATCGTTCTATCTTTTGTTAATTTGGTGTTTTCCTAGTTCCTAGAATGGTACCTGATATATAGTAGATGTTCAATAAAGTTAAATGCATTAATGAATAACAAATGTAAGTTAAAACTATTTCTTCATATTAAATGCATGAATGAAAAATAAAAGTTGAGATTATTCACTATTCTGGTATTCTTTGACATTTGTCTACATTTGTAATTGTTCGGTTTGCAAGGTATTTTGACTGGGAAAGAGAGATGGTAACATAATCAGGAAAGAACCTTAAAAATAGGAAGCCTGTCGCTCAGTAGTAACATAGGGACAGAACTCCCAAAAAGGCAAACGTATATGCAAAATGAGTACAAAATCAGTAAAAAATCATTGTGACCCTAACAACAATATAAAAAGGAATTAAAGTATAAAAGGGAATTAAAGTGCACATGTTCACAGAATCACATACTTCGTGGCATCAAGAACTAACTTTGTCAAGAACCTAAGCTACCTCAAAGTTATTTCTTTTTCCTCACACACAAAATTCTACCCACAACGTGGGAAGTTGTGAAACCCCTGAGCCCCTGAGTGAGTCAAAAATTTATTGGCATGGAGTAGATTAGCGACTGGGGAACATTCAGAAGGAATGGTGTGTTATGAAACACTTCTGTGTTGATTTTTCTTTTGACCCGAGCAGGAAGCCAAGGTATAACATTTACCAGGAATTAAGGACTGTAATAGCGATGAGTCTCCACTTCTTAAACTTTGTTTTTCCCTCCAGGTCCGCAACGCTCACCCAGCTCTGGCATCACCGTGGGCATCCTCAGGGGCATCTCCTCAGGCCCCAAGAGTTGCCCTTCTCCGGCCGGCGCCCTCCCCAGCGCCCTGCCTCTGCTTACCAAAGCCGGTGGAATTCATGCTTCTGTTCCTCCGTTATCGCCAACGCCTTCTTTCTCTTCATAAAGCCTAGTAAATCCCGAATTTCCCTCTCGCAGGAGGCCAGGAGTGGGTTTTTAGCGTCCAGAGGCCCATAAAACACGGCGAGGGGCAATGAGTTCTCGAGGCAGGCAGAGTGAGGCACTGGGCTCGGGGAGCTCTCCTTCGACTCCACGGGCGACTTCGAGAGTGCGTTCGAGGTCGGGGGCGGGGTCGGCGGCGGTCCTGGCGGGGACAGGGATGTGGGAGACAGGTTGAGGGGAGACGTCGAGGAGGTGCCTAGTGCCGCCATATTGACGAGACCCCGGCCGGCTAGAAGTGTGTGTACACGCGGTTGCCTGGCGACGGTCTCACGGCAACCAGGTGTCCTTCGCGCTTTCAGGAAAACACAGCGGCCCCTGGAGGGCAAAGGAAGAAAGAACCCGGTCCGGAAAGAAACGACGCTCCTGGGGGCTTTTTTTTTTTAATATTTTAATGAAATTGTCATGTCATCTCTTTTCATTACATATTTATTAATACAATATTATTAGCAATAATGATCTCTTTTCATTTAACAATTTTTCCTTTAATCTTCGCTTTTTTTTCTTGTATATTTTCTCATATTTTTATATGAGAAATTTTCTCATTATAATATTTTCTCATATACAGCAAGGAGAAACCAAAAGACACTTTGAATACTTGGAATGGAAAATCTTTAGGCAAAATCAGCAAGGTCTTTAAGCACATTTTTTTTGTCTTTTTTTGCCCTCTTCACTGGCACTGCCATATGACAGAAGAATAGAAAGAAGGTTTTGGACAGAGAGCCAGCGAATAGTAGAGCCAAAAACTTAGGACTACAAATCAGACTATACTCGTTTTCCATTTCGACAACTTAATGATGGTAACGATCATTAATATGTGCCAGGCATTGTTCTAAGCATTTGAAACATAAGCTCATTTAATCATGATAACAGCTTTACCACTTAGGGTATTATGAGTATCTCCATTTCACAGTTTAAGAAACCAAAGTTTACGGACCAAGGTCAGAGTAAACTGTAGTGTCAGTGACCAGATCCCAGCCTTCTGACTCAAAAGCCTATGCTCAAAATGAGTACGTTTCACTGGCCATCCTCAAAAAAAAAAACCAAGCTTATCAATCAAATCAAAATTAGGAAACTATAAAAAAAATTAGGAAAATATCTGACAACCAGTTTAAGAAGCAAGTACATGGGAGGCACCTGGGTGGCTCAGTCAGTTAAGCCTCTGCCTTGGGGGCTCAGGTCATGATCCCAGGGTCCCACATGGGGCTACCAGCTCAGCGGGGAACCTGCTTCTCCCTCTCCCTCTGCCGCTCCCCCTGCTTATGCTCTCCCACTCTCTCACTCTCTCTCTCAAATAAATAAAATTTAAAAAAAAAAGAATTAAGTACATGCAAATGATCCATTCTCTTCCCTCTATTTGTAACTTGAGGTCTGTAACTATGGAGATGATGGCTGTGCTTAACAATTAGGGTTACATTATAGTTCTTCATTTGTATTTCATCCTTATTATCACTATATTCTAAATTAATAAGCATTTCACTCAACATTAACTGCCAGACATTAATGCACACTAGTGGCTTGAAGTGTTAACTCTCAAAATACTTTTGCATTTTAAACAGAGATTTTAGGAAACTTGCTTCTGATGGGGAAACTATAGGCCTTAAGGAAAATATATGGGGGCAAGGGAAGTTCTTCTTTCCTTACATATTATGGGCAATAGGAAGTTTATTTATTTACTTACTTAAGGTATAAGTTTCTAACTCATAGGGAACTTGCTTGCTTTATAAACTATGCAATGCCAAAAATTATCTAAGAAAAGAAACAGAAATATTTGATGTCTTAGAAAAATAGGTCTTTAACACTGAAAAGTGTTACTGGTTCTTTCACACATAAGAATAAATAAAGATAGTGACCCTAACACCCTGTGAGCCCAATTTCCCACTTAAGATTAAGAAGCTTATTGGACCACAGCCTGATTTCTTTCATGTCTGACCTAATTTCTTGCAGACTCTGTGGGCCTGTTCTAATTTATGAGGCTAGCCTAATATGTCATGTGTACTGTACTCTAATATTCTTTGAAGGAAAATGATGATGCTTTTGCTCTTCAAGACAGGTAATTATGACCCAAGAACCTTCTTGGCAGGCAGTGAGGTACCCTCACACCTCACTGTAGGAGTTCAATTCTCCAGTCAGGATAGACAAATCATTCTTTAAGATTTTATCTTGTCTCTAAGTGAGCAATAAAAATGTTAAGACCTTGAAGAATTTAGGCCTAAAGAAGTAATTCATTCTTCATTTACAAAAAGTATTAAGAGATCTTTTATTTAAAAAAAAAAAACAGCTTGGTAAATTCTTTCTCTTCTCATCTTCTCCTTGTTCTCACATAACAGACTTGGCTATTTTAGATCAAAAGCTGATGTAATCTGCCACTGAGTACTACCTATTATATTGATGAAAGTGAAACTGCAGGATAAAATTAAAGTGGTCAGAGAGGAGGAAGGAAAAGAAAAATAAAACAGATGAACTGGGGTTTTTTCCCCTGACCTGTCTGCTCTCACAAACAACCTTACTAAGAGTGCAGGCACTTACATTTCAGTGTCACTGGTAAAAGAAAATGTGACTTATTAAATTCAGATACTTGAATTATGCATCTTAGTCACAGCATTGCTTCGTAGTCATTTTCTTCCTTGCAAATACAAAGTTGACAATGCTTCACTTGCCATAGTTTTCAAAAGCTTGCCTGAATATTTAAATGGCTGCTGTACTCTGAATCATCATCGTGCTAAGATGGAAGTTTCCATTTTGTTCTGTTTAAATTATATTTGAAACATTTTTTAACATTTTCGAGGTGTTATCTTTCTTGTAATGAGATGCAGCTATTAGAATATCTTTTCTACTCCCTTGTCACTTCACTTTATTCTTTCCACTGTAGTGAAAGAATGGATCTCTGCAACTATTGTGTCTGGCAGGGCTAAATAATGTAAATAGCTTCCTTATAAATAATGTAAATTGCTGTTTCCTTATAATTAGTGTCTTTGTAGGCTGCAGGGATCCTTTTTGCTCATTCAAAAGTCTTTATCATCTAAAGTTACTGTTAGGGATACCTGGGTGGCTCAGTCAGTTAAGTGGCTGCCTTCGGCTTGGGTCATGATCCTAGGGTCCTGGGATCAAGTCCCGCATCAGGCTCCTTGCTCAGTGTGGAAGCCTGCTTCTCCCTCTGTCTGCCATCCCCCCGTTTGTGCTCTCCCTCTCTGACAAATAAATAAATAAAATCTTTAAAAAAATAAAAATAAAAAAATAAAGTTACTGTTACAGAAGGAATAAATAAGGTTAGGACTCTCTCGATTCCTAATTTAGTTGTTAATTATTTGGACTATCCCAAATATGTACCTACATATGGTCTTTAAAAGAAAAAAAGCACAAAGATCTCCTTTTCCCACCTCATCACCCAATATTTAAACTTTTTAAAAAACTTCTCCATCCTTTCATTTAGGCCAACGCAACAATTTCTTTAGTGTGTCATACAATGCATAGGTGAACCCACACATTCCTTGGAAGAAGCAGATGACACACAACTAACCATGATAAAAAGGTATGCTGTGAAATGTGCTGGGATAAAGATTTAAAACATGCTGTAGCAGTCCCAAGATGAAGCCTGGAACTGGAGAAAGACCAGACGATTCTGGAGAAGGTGATACTATAGCCCTGGACTGTCCCTGCTCCTCATTAACAGAAAGCCCCTTGCAACAGGGAGTTGCCTATTTACTGTGATAACCCAGCACCCGAGCCTGGAGCCTGGCACAGAGTAGTATGGCTTAACAAATCCTTGTTGGAACGAGTGAATGGAAAAAAATAAGACGGAGAACATTTAAAAGGATATCACTGATTGAGAAAAAAAGCCTGAGTAAGGTACAAAGTTATAAACATACACAATGAGTTAAATAAATCATCTGTCCAGTGTGGTGAACCAAAGACTACAGGAGATCCAGGGGCAAAAGGTGAGGCAGTAAGAGAAGTGTGATCAAATATAGTAGGTAGTTGGAAAGTGTGCTAAGAAATTTTGACTTAGTTCTGTATTCAGTGGGAAACCTTAGGTTAGAAGAAGATTACAATTAAAAACAGTAGGAATTAAAAGCCCAAATTCTGGAGCCAAAAAGCATGGTTTGAATTCCCACTTCTTCCAAGTTGCTTGACTTCACTGTGCTGTGGTTTCCTCGTCTGTAAAATGGAGTGAAATAATAATCCTACTTAATTCAGTTTTGTTTTGTTTAGAATTAAATGAATTAATATGTGTAAAACCCATAAAATAGTGCCTGGCACATAATAAGGGCTATATAAATGTTTGCTAATATAATTACTCACTTGGGAACCCTCAAATAGCCCCAAACCGAAAAGAACACAATCCACTCTGTATTTGACGTATTTTAGAAGGGAAACTATGATGGCAGAATAAAGGATGGATTGGAGTAAAAAAGGTTACATCTGATCTCAGCTGCACAAATCATCACAATGATTATATACTGTCAACCATGAGACAGAAGTAGCCAAACTAAAACCTTAGACACTGAGGCAGAATCCGTAGGAAACTAAATTCTAATCAATACGATAAAAGGAGACTCACAGAGTAATATGTAATTTATATAATAATTATATCTATAACATATATGTAATATATATAAAATAGTTGTAAAAATAGTAGAAGAAATTCTAACATGTATTTATTATTCTAAGATATAATGTATTTATGGTCCTGAAGTAAAGCCTTTCCTAAAAGGTACAATAGTAAAAGACAGAAAGGAAAATACTAAACTGAATACATTAAGCTAAATTTTTAGAAGGGTAAAAGATAGCACAGCAAAAGTAGAAAAGCCACACGCTGGAAAAATATATTTGTAATGCATGACCTCCTGTGTGAGCACCATGTCGATAAATATCACCAGCATGTTCAGATAAAAGATATTGCTTGAGTAAATTAAACAGGTTTACTTATTAAAAGCTACCAGTGGAAGTCAGTGTAGTCAGGACATATAACAAAGAGATCAGCAACATTATCCAGGACGGATGGGAATCTGTGTTTCCAAAACCTAAAATTTTCACCTGTGGCACACAGTTCTAGATGGTAATATCCCTGCATCTTCCAAGTCTTTGAGGCTTGAACAAGTATCTGCAATTCCTCTGGAGTGCAGTATTGCTTCTAACTGAACACTTTGGTGTGGACAGTTTCAGATACTTCTGCCTGGCCCTTCCACCCATAACAGCTCTAATGCCACAG